AACTTGATACTTTTGACTTTTTCAAAGTTCATAATCTTATAGCAAAAGATTTAGTAAATTGTTAATTAGAACTATATGTAACAATGAAGACACAGTTAAAGGGGGCTCAAGAATGACAAAAGATCAATGCACATGCCTATTGCAAGGAACAACCACAATTAAACATGGATGACAAAGTATGGTTACTCCATTGTAATATTAAGACTACTCGTCCTTGAGACAAGTTAGATTGTCATAGGCTTGGACCTTTTCTTATTAGTAAATAACTCAATCTTATTGCTTATCAATTACATCTACTAGAGTCTATGAAGATTCATCATGTATTTTACATGTCTCTTTTTGAGCCATTTAAAATAATGAATATCTCAAGAAGAAGACAAATACCACCTCTTCCTACTGAAGTGGATAACAATCAAAAATTTAAAATGGAAGAAGTCTTAGATTCAAGGTGGCACCAAAATAGATTAAAATATCTTGGTCATTGGTATAGATATAATATTAATAAATACATGTGAAAGCCAACAAAAAATCTTCAAAATGTAGCAAAGAGAGTTGAGGCTTTTTATTCACAACATCCATCAAAACCAACATAAAAAATAACAAATTTTAATATAAAAGAAATAAGATCCAAAGAACTTAGCATTCTATCTTCTATTCTTGTTTATAACTTTTTGTGTATTTGTGACCTTAAAGACGTGAAAACCAACAACCAATAGATTCAACTCAAGAGCTTTTACTTGTTGACTTATCAATTGAGACATTGTGATTGTTACAATCTTAAAGATGATATAATTGAGATGAAGATCTTCAAGAATGATATGTCTTACCTCAAATAAATGGCAAGATAAAATGAGTTTGATATCACAACTTTAGAAGAGATTCTTGATGTTTGGTGATTTTATTAGACATAAGAACAATTTCTAATGGTATTTAAAATATTTTATTTGAAGGAAGTTACAAAAGCCTTAGCAATGATCAAGTAATAAGGTAGTCTTTTTGCTGTGGTATGAGACATTATCAATGGCTAAGAGGACCTATCAACCATCTTTGAAGAGAAGAAAGATTAAAGTATGTGGTAAACATAATTTGTTGCATCTTGGAGTCATAATGCCTTTTTAGTCCTTAGTCTTATTTCAAGACTTTTTAGTCTTCTTATCTTTTATAATAACCATTCTAATTTAATACTATATCATCTATAAGTGGCTTTTTAGTTCTTTTGAGTGACACAAGAATATATTAAAGATTTCTTTTTTTGAGCTTTATATCCTTGATAGTTACCTAATTTATTTGACAATGATTTCAAGCTTATGCAATTACTTATATTTAAGGTGGTCAAAGATATAAGTTTATTTAAATTATTTTAAAATAATATTAAGCTTATGCAATTATTTATATTTAAGGTAGTCAAAGATATAGGTTTGCTTAATTCATTTGATAATGATGTCAAATTTGAGTACACACTTATATTTAAGGTTGTCAAAGATAGAGGTTGTCCAATTCATTTAATAATAATGACAACCTCGAGTATCCTCATATATTTAAAGAAGTCAAAGATGAGAATTTGCTCAATTAATTTGACAATAGTATCAACCTTCAGTACTCAATTATATTACATAGTCAAAGATGAACAATCATCTAATTTATTTGACAATAATATTAAGCTTAAAGACTCATTTACTTTTAAAGAAGTCAAAGATTTGAAGTTGCCTGATTCAATTAGAAATATTATTAAGCTTAAATATGATATCATAAATAAGTACTTTACATACTTCAATACCTTACAAATCTCCAAAAAAGCTGGATAGTCCTTGGGATTAAATTTCTAATAATTTTTTATTAAAATCTTAAATAGTAGTAGATAATAATAAAGTAAAGGTGGGCACTTAATACTTTTTATCTTTTTCTTCATATTTTAAGGATTTAAATTTGAAAAAAAAACTTTTCTAGTTAATATCTTATAATACATCATACCAAAACTATATACATCATTGTTTTGTGGATATTTTTATGTATTTATACTTGTGGATACATGATTTTTACTTTCTAATTTATGGATTTTAATTATTTTTAGAGCTATATATCTAAAATTATCTATATTAAATATTTAAGTAGAATAATTTCTTAATTTTAATTTTAGATATTTTAGAATTTATCAATTTGATATGTTTATTTCTATTTTTATATTTATTATCTTTATCAAAACTTTATTTAATTTTAAATCTCTCTATATAATATTCTTTGAGTGAAGACAAAACATACCTTTTGTAAGTTAAAAATGATGTCAATTGCTATAAAATTAGAGAATGGAAATCAAGATTAAAATTTTGCAACCCATTTTGCATTAAAAATGTAAGATCTTTTTCTATCAACTCCGTAAACATAGAGCACTTTTCCTTGCTTGAAGTATAGTAAAATAAAGACATAATATTTGTATAAAGCATCATTGATATAATTAACACTTCTTGCTCAAAAAAAACCATTGTTTGATCTATGAAATATCTTCTTTGCAACTTCCATCTCCAACTAATTTATTTTAAATATAATTATAGATGTACCTTTTTTTAATTGGCAATATTCTTGTACCTTATCCAACCATCTCTAAAATAGGTTTTTTAAAGATTTATTTGATGTGCTTCTAAATCTTTCAAGCAAAATATAAGTCAATTTTTTTTCTTTCTTTTTAATAATTTCAATTCTAGATCTATTTTCTTTTACATAGTCTCTTTATCTTAAAAGACTTTCTTTTGGATAATATTAGCTTCAATGCTATTGATTTTTTCATTTTTTTCGAGTTCTATCCATATTTTTTTTTGCAGTGCTTTGAACTCATAGTCAAAAAATATAAGTTTATATAATTTCAAATTAAATCTTATTAATGAAATATACTCTAGTACTTTATTCAATATTATGGCAACTTTGACCCATGCATTTTTGCAACAACCTTAAATGAAGCTTTCAATTTTTTTTGTCTTTGCAACAAAAAGCTTGAAATTATACACACACCTTGCCATAACTTCTAGTAGAACATCTATACAAAGGCATGTCGTATGGAGAAACAAACTAGCACTTTCAATAATTAACTTGAATTTAATAGCTAAATATTTGTATTATTTTTTATTAGATTTTAGCAAATTTATTGCCTTTCTTTAAAAAGTCAAAACTTATACTTTTTCTATAGATTTAATTATAATCTTTAAATATGATTGAAACTCTAAATACTTGCTTGATATAACTCCACTAGGAATATAATTTGTACATATTTTGTTACCATAGACCAATATTAAATCATATAATTATCAAGACAATCAAAATAATATTGTAAAGACTAGCATATTATTATTTATGATTATAAAAAACCAAAAAGTTACCTATAGGATAATATGCTATCCATAATATAAAAAAAAGTATTAAAATGCAACCATGGTATTGAAAATAATTTTAAATTTAAGATATTAATTTTAAAGTGGAGAAAGCATTATCCATACCAAAAAAAATTTGGCAATGGTGATTCTAAAGCAAGAATTGTAGGATCCATTCTAGCCATAATTTAAAGAAAAATTGAAAAATAGTCCTTTAAAAAGCTCTGAATTATAAAGAAGAAATGGCATTGTCACCTGTTGTATGTCCCACCAATGCATGTTAATTGGTGGATTGATTTAAAAAATAGTTTTAAATCACTTAATTATATAAATATTAAGATTAGAGAGCCTTTTTGATTATTTAAGTATTTATTAGAATTAAGAAGTATTTAATCATTACATAAATTTTTATTAAAAGAAAAGTTATAAAAATAGAATCTTGATAAATCTTAGAGGTAATTATCTTAATTGATTTAATATTTTTACTTATTATTAAGTATTAATAATTAATTATTAAGATCAATATCTTTATTAGCCTCCTATCTGCATGTATTATTTATAAAAATCCTATCAATGACTAGTTAGTAGTTAGAAGAAGCAGAAAAAAGAACTTTGTATCTTTTTAATTAATTATATAAAAAATAAAAAAATTAGTGGATTTTAATTTATTTTATTATTATAAAAAATTATTAAGATAGGAAAATATAGTCTTAAATAGATATTAGTATTATAAAAATATTATAGGATTTTTTAAGATTTATTTAGAATTTATTTAGAAAATTTTAAAGAAGATTTCAAAACTTTGGTAAAATTAAGTTTTACTATCTTGGAAGCCATTATGAGAAAAAAGAATAAGATTTAAAGGTCATAAAATACTTTTAGGTTATTTGGATATTTTCAAACACTGTAGTAAAGTCAAAAATATAAAATTATGAATTTTACTAGTAGGAAATAGGAAGACCAATAGTTAATCTAATCTTTGTAGAAAGGGAGGTACACAAGTCCAATATGGGTTGTAGTATCTTGAGATAAATTAATTTCACTTAATTTTTTAATTATTCACTTTCTATCTTTAAACTTTCATAATTTACTCATAGTAATTTGAATTTATATATTTCTTATGTCATTAGAAAGATAATAAAATTACCTAAGTAAAAATATACTTTTTAATATTTATATTTATTTTTTATTGGATGAAAACTTAGTAAATAGACTATGGATTACTTTTGTTGTATGCAATTATTTGATTGCACTTATTATACTTGTTTTGTATTTTTTTTTTTTTCTTTTGTTCTTGTTTATTACATCTTTCACTTCCCACCACCAATTACAAGCAACTCTTAATCAAGACTATCTTGTAATTTGGGTTGAAGGAGAAATTTACCCTCACACATGTTGGCGTTGTAGGCATTATATATTAATGCTTGAATTATAAAAAACTAAACTAGATTCTTGTAAGCTCAATGATACTATCTTAATGGTAGCTTATTCAACTTCACAATAATTAACCAAATGTAAATATTCAATGAAATGCAATTATTGTCTAACTTTTTAACTCTCTCAATTTAGCCCAACTTAACTAAAATAGCCTTAATAAAAAAAATTACCTACATCATCACTCAATTTAAAAATTCTCATCCATTGACGAAAATTCATCTTTATATAATACTTCATCCATGAATGAGATATCATCTAAGGATGAGAATTCATCCATAAATAAGTATTCATTCAAGTGTTCATCCTAGTTTATTAAATTCCTAACCTAACTTTATCCAACTCAATTAGTCATCCATCCAATGCAGCAATTCATCCAATCTGGAAGTCTCACCGCAATGTGGAAGATGTGGAAAACGAGCCTGGAGTAGCTGCGATAGCAGTTGTGCTGGAAGAAATGGAATTGCTCGTCTATGCAGTGGCGGCTCAAAGTCGTTCAATCTTCAAATCCCTTCACAGGAATGAAAGTGGGTAGGCGAAGCTGCCTTCGAGAGAAACTCAGGAAATGGAGATGAGGCTGACGGATGATAATGGTATCATAATTGTAGGGAGAATATGAGTATCACAAGAAGCTATCCGAACTCCAGATGCTAGATGCTCACATGAAATTCTTCAGCAAAGCCGATGGTTTTATCGACAGCCAAGCTGCTTACATGAATTTTTCACTACACTATAAACTTCACTACCTGTCTCACGAGGAATTTCCGCTGCCAACCATACACCACAATTATGTGTTTTAATGAACAACCACCTTAGCTCATGAGCACTTACAAATCGGTACTAAATTTCGAACACCTTTACAACACTGAATTCTGAACAACGTTGCCTATCTGCAATTGTCGGTAGGAACTCTAACCATCAAGTTACTTGCTCAGTTTTTCGTCCACGTTGTCCATCCCTACATGATGTTCATGTTCTCAGTCTTCAGCAACATACAATATGAATATATGCACAACGAAGTATCAAAGAAGATGATGAAATTTGACCTCAACACCAAGACTTAGAAAAATAGTTCCTAAATTCAATACAAAGCCACATCAATTCTTTTACCCTTTCTAGACCAAGTACTCAGTTTCAAGCTGGGCTCTTTTCAGTAAGAACTTATTAAGCTTTTATTCATACCATCTTTGGATACATCTTAGGTGTATTTTTTGTTTTGTTGATTATGCCTGGTTAGGATTCTAGCTAGGTGTAAAATCCAATGTATGTTTACAGAATAGTTGGTCTTAAAACTAGCTCTGAATTTGTGTCTCCAAGACGACGAATGTGTACCTGCTTGTGTAACAAATTGATTCCTTGACCACGTCGTGGAGGAGGGACTGGCTAGCTAAAAATCATCACATTGATGATAAATTTTCCGTGTTTCTGGGACTCGTAGGGAGTGTCCATGTTACATGTACCTCAGTTTCGCACTGGAATGTTTATGGCTTTGTCATAACTGGGCAGACAGGATTGGTTAAGATAAACCTGTTCTGACCTTTATTGAACCAATTCTGAAAAAACTAGATTAGGTCCTGTAAACACGTAAGTTAAGAGATTTATGCAACAACTGAAAGGAAAGTAAAAGTTCTCTTGCCTTTGACCAAGCTCCTAACACGAGGACCTCCCTTTATTCAAACAGCCGCTCTCATCTCCTTGGTGCTCCGATTTGGACGATTCTTGGCTTGTTGCAACCAGACATCACGCGGCTTCAGCACCACCAGCAGCAATCCAATGGTTGAGAATCGAAAGTTGCTTCTGCGAAGTTGGGAGATCCAACCTGTCAACGCAGCGGACCACTCTTCACTTGAATTGTTGCCACAACTCCGTCCTGACTTCAATTCTAATAAATTATTGGTTCGTCGGATAGCTAACACTGAGAGGCTCCTACACAAACTTCACCAATCCAAGAGTCTAATTGAAGGATATCCGCGGCCCTCCAACGATAAACCAACTATCGAACAACGGTGTATTCTATCTGGATCCAGCACTAGAAACACCGGGCTAACAAGATCCAGCCAAAATTGACATTAGAATCAAAAAAAAAAAAGTAAAAATAAATAAATAAATAAATAACGATTCGCTTGGCTTCGGCGACCTACTGCAAGTGGCAAAAGGGTGAGAGAGGAAGCGTTAAACAGAGAAAAGAGAGAAACAACTAGCTGCGTTCACATCATGGACTCAGAAGGCAGTAAGCTCACTTACGTAGCATTTCACGATATTCAACTTCTGCAGTGTATGGATTCTAGGTTGAAGGATATCCTTAGTCTCACTACGTTCATAAGTGTCGGGGCTTTCAAACGACACACTAACCACTGCTACTGCTCCCAGCTAGGTCTTAAAAATACTTTCCCCGCTGCTCAGCCGTCACCTACCAACTGCTCCTCTATGTTGAGGCTTCGCTGTGGTTGTGGATGATCGGCTTCTGCTTGGACGTGATTGTGTGAAGACGCGTTCTCGTTCGCTGCGGATCACTCTCCCTCCCCTTTCTCCAAACGTTGTTCTACTTGTTTCCCATCCTTCACAGCTGTGCCCGTTGCTGCTTCACAAGTTCCTTTCCTTCTTTTCTTTTCTCTGTTTTGCTTCGAACGCCTCGTTCTCCGTGTTTTCTTTGACAGTGGGTTGCTACTCCGCAATGTTCTCATCCATTTGCGTTCTAATGATCCCAAGGTTGTGACAATTGTTTACCAGCATCTGCATATTCTTCACCTTCTCAGAAACCTTCACTTGCTTGAAGAGGCCGTGTCGAATTTGCTTCACCATGTTCACATTGCGAATGAGTCCAGCAACTGCAGAAATTATGTCCTACGTGTTAACAATGATATCTGATTACTCTCTCAAGAGTCTTCCTATCATTAGAAAATCCTATTTTTTGTTATCAAATTTTGTTAATAAACAGTTTTGTCTTTATTTCAGGATTCTGTTGACTGATTAGAGAATTGATCTTTTGAAATTTTAATACTTCGAAAAATTAGTTCACCATTTTAATGAATAAATTGAAAGAAAATTTTACAGTACCAAATAATATGCAGCTAATTAGAGATTTTATTATATACATACATATGCATATTTGTCACACATTAAATAAATCATACCAATTCATCAAACTACACAATCATATATCAATCATATACATAATCATATCACAATCATATAATTATTATCATATCACAATCATATACAATCATATATCAATGGCACATTATAACTTGATTAATTGTTCTTTAAAATAGGAAAAAACGATTTCTATCATAGACAAATCAAGATTAAATACCCTATTAATTTAAAAATTACTTTATAAAAATATTAAATACTTTGTAAAGTACTTTTATCTATAATCATCAACAGAAAAGAATTTTTATTTTGTGAACCGATTTGTGTTACACAATCTATTTTACTAATCCATTTTTTGTTTTCAATCAATTTTTATCTCTTACTACTAACTAGTGTGTATGCTTATAGTCTTCAAAGATTGTAGCTATAAACAAAACCATTATAATCATTGTCAAAATAAAGAAAATTGGATCAATTATCTTTTGAATGTTTTTATCAATCAACTAATTACAAAAATATACATAATCATGTGATGTTTTAGTGTAGATACTAATATAATATATATACTTGTTTTATCACTTCTGTCCGTAGGTGCAGGAAATGCAGACAGTATGCATGTGCATGAAAGCACACTGATTCTGCCGCTTTCAAATGGATGTTGCAATTCTCATACAAAGATTTATCCATTCAAAGCAGAAGACATACATCTTGAGGAAATTGACGACGATATTTTCTTTTCAAAAGTAAGTTCATTGTGTACGTGTGTGTGTGTATAATATACCAAATTTTAGTAAAATTTATAGAAATTGTAAAATATTTTATAATATTTTTATTGCATAGATAAAACCATTTTCTTTTATAGTTAAAATTCCAAGTAAAATAATGTTTATAAGTATTTTAAGTTGATCAAAAATTAGATTTAAAAACTGCTTGTAACACTTACGAATAGATGAAAAACAATTTTTTTTCAAAGTGTTTCAAGTTGAGGAAATAAAAAAATCAAATAGAATTTCATTCTATATATTTTATTACACTTTTTTTTTAGTTTTCTTATTGAGTAGACATTATCTTTCTAAATGAAAAAAACCACATCCCACGATTATTTCAATACATCAATTTTTAATATAGAATTTTAAAATTATATATATTTAAAAAAATTACATAGATATAAACATTTTCAATTTGTTTTAGAAAAGAAGGTAATGCTTTGTGTTCTTTTTTGAAAATTTTATTATCTATTCGTTATATGTATTTTTGATTTGACAAACAAACTTAAAGTTTTAATTCTAACAAAAACTTGTATTCATTCGGAATTACTTTCTTTGTTAAATTTTTTGTTTTTCCATTTTGATTATTTTTGCAATGGACAATAATATCAATGAATATCAAGATAATACAAAAAAGAATTTAGCTTACTTTTAAAGGTTTATATTCTACACTATAAAGATATACTTATCATATACAACAAATCTACAGATCATTGTATTTTTCAAAAAACTTCAAAGTTATTTTTATTTTTTTCCTAGTTCCTAATAATTTTATTTTAAAATGTTATTTCCTTTATTTTTCGTCAATTAATTAAAATTTTAATAAAATGATGAAAAAATTATAAAAAAACATCTTTTTGCAATACATTTCTTGTTCTATAAATCCGAATTCCATAATTATATACTTCAATTGAATAATAAAATTATTACCTAATTATTGAGATTCATCCTAGCTAGATTTTTCATATCTTTGTTACTACTTGCACAAAATTCAAAAAAATCTACTAAACTCAAAATGATGACAATGCATGAAAAAACTTAAAATACTCAAAATTATAGAAATAACAAAACAATGAAATAAAAGAAGTGAATAATATGGTTTGTCTAAAACGAAAGAAGAACATGCTTTAGAACACAAAAAAGAGTTTGATTAAGCTAGTGGAAGTAAAACGTTATACATATTCCATGATCGATTGTGATCGGTGACTTGTTCTTCAACCAAGGAAACCCTAACCAATGAAACCCTAAGATCTAAGTGCATGTCGCGGACACAACTTCCACTTCCATATCCCAGAAATGCATGGAAATGTATAGCTAAGCCTCGGACTAGTTAGTTGGATGGATGCATTCATGACCTTGCATTGCAAAGGAGGGTTCCTGATCGAGTGCCGATGATGGTTCGGTGGATGTTTTCCAGATGTGGCTTGTTCAGTTCCGAAGCTCGTGCTCTACACGTGAAGTTCAACCTCCGAGCAGAGAATCCCACGATTTGGATCAACATTAGCTTTGCTCCGTGATCATGATGCTTGGTTTAGGGGGCTGTCACTGTTAGTTCTTCTTTTCTTTTCCTTACTTGGTTGTGTGCAACGATGCCATCGCTTGAAATTCCGAGCCACGAAGCAGCAGATGCCACTCTGCCACCAGCTGCGGGAGTGCGGTGCAAAGACAATTTCTCTTCCCTTGCATGGCCGCATGAACTGAAGAAATATCTACATTTAGGAACCTCTCCATTCGAATATCCACTTGACCAAATGGCAGTCGTAGGCAGAATCATTTTTCTAACTGTTTAAAGACACGATCCTAAATTCCTACATTGATTAGATTCTCACTACATGCGCTAACGGAACTGAATGAGTGGCTAAATCGGTTTTTCCAATTCTGTAGGTGTCGAAACACTACTCGACACTTTTACGGTCATCGATCTGGGGTACGGAAGCATACCAGGCAGTTGGCACATTGTGAGCAAAAAAGAATTGAGCAATGAGGTGGAAATTAATAGTGGAGCCACATTCTCTGAATTCTCAGCCCTGTTGGAGACTTATCAAAAGTATCTGACGAAAGGTTTCTTTTGTCGCATTTGGATACTTTCCGCATCTTTTTCCACCCACGGAGCCCGTTTTCGTCCACCAACCCTCGGGATGTGACACCCGGAAGGCGGGGTATAGGAGATCGGGGGGCCGAAGACCCGGATGCGTATCCCCTGATCCGTGATACCTTCTTGGAGCGATTGTTGACTTGAGTCCTTCCTCCAGGCTTCGCGAACCTTGTTGCTGCTTCGTCTTCTTCTTCTCCGTTTTCTTCAGGAAAGGAGACGAGGTGATTATGAGATGATTTGCGAATTGCATTAGAGGGATTAAGTAGGAGGGTTGAAGATTTGAAGTAACAGCGGTCTCTCTTTACCATCACGAAGTTCGCAGCGTCAAGGCGTTGTCGTAAAGTCTCGTCACTCGCGATCGCGATCACATTAGAATCAGTGTGTTCAGCCCACTTTCGAATCATTGAGTCATGTTGTGCTTTTTCGACGTTGGCTGCGTCTGACGATTTCGTAACGCGCGCGAGATTGTCACTCTGCGGTAGCTGCTAGCATTGTGATCGTTGCATGCTTTTACTTCTCGAGCTTTAGTTTGGGGACAAGGTCGTAGTTCTGGATTCATTCTTTTTTGTACGGACGTAAGACTGTTGCATGTTTTAGCAGAGAGGCAGTGTTGGTGAGTACAGGGAAGAAAGGGTGTGGTAGAAGGCTTTCGTGAGGAGATTGATTGAGTGGTTGACAGGAGAGGTTCGGAGTTTTTGGAGTTATAGAGTTTGAAGCCATGGCTGCCTCGAATGTTGCGATGTCTAAGAGTATTCTGAGCTCGTTTTCAAGTTCAAAGAAATTGGACTCGATTCCGGGGAGCTTGCAGCAAGACATGGCGGTGGAATTGGCAGGGACAATTAAGGTGCATAGGAATCGGACGTCGCGGGGCCAGAGGATTCACGTTGCTGGTGTGCGCAATATAGCGTCTGAATTGGTCGAGATGGAGCCCGCTTCTCAAGACAGCCAGCTTTTAGGTGAGATATTACATCTTATTATTTCAATCGAACTATTTTGATTTTTGTTTTGTTTTGTTTTTTGTTTTGTTTTTTGTTTTTTTTGTCATGTTAGTTCACGAAGCCTTTCCCCTTTTCCTTCAAGTCATGACTGGAATTGGTGACCTAGCTGATAGTAATAGTGGCACGCTTTCGGGTAGGTTGTCTCTCTTCATGCTACCTTTTCGGAGTGCGTACCATCTTGGCAATTGTGCACGATCTTCCGTCACCGTATTCAATTGCATGCTGTAGATAATATTCATCTTCATTGTGTACGTCAAAATGTTCTGAATCTTCGAATAGGGAACTCGTAACGCTTAGCGATTGGAGGCGCAAAATGAGTGTTCTAACTATCAGTGTTGCTATTGTCTTGCTTAAGCAGTCTCACGGAAGAAGTATTGTGAAGCAGTTTATGCGCCCGTAAGGAGGAAGACCAGGACCGTGAACATTGGTGGTGTGACTTTGGGCAGTGAGCACCCCATTCGAGTGCAAACCATGACCACCACAGACACGAAGGACGTCAAGGGCACTGTGGACCAGGTACTCATCCAGCTACTTACCTTCTATCAGTTTAAGAATTTCCAGTGAAGTTTAGCAAGAACTTTTGTGTCGGAAAGAAGTCATAGTTTCACAATTCGTCCTAATGTCACAACCTCTTTGGTCGTGATCCTTCCAGGTCATGAGGATAGCAGACAGAGGATGTGATATTGTGCGGATTACGGTTCAAGGGAGGAGGGAGGCTGATGCATGCTATGAGATCAAGAACACGCTTGTGCAAAAAGGGTACCGCTTTGCCTCCTTCATCGAAGTGCTGATCACCAGTCTTAAACGGAACCTTCGAAGAATAACATACGTGGATGGCTTAATTAATGGGAGTGTTGTTTTACATGTTTTCTCGTTCTCCGAACAGATAAATCTGCTTTCTAACTTGCCATTATCCTTGTTGAGCTTTACAGGTACGACATACCTTTGGTCGCAGATATTCATTTTGCACCACCGATCGCAATGAAAGTTGCCGATTGCTTTGACAAGATTCGTATCAATCCTGGCAACTTTGGTGAGCAGTTCTTTTTAGTCGCTTGCCCTTGAATTGTTTGCTCATCGAGCACATTCTTTTTTTCTTTTTTTTCTTTTTTTCACAATGCCAGCTGTTAATCTTGATAAAAGAAAGGAAAAAAGTTAACGTCTGAAACAGAATGGCTAAATAGCCAAGTTATTACTAATACCTCTTCCACCCAACAATTATGAGCATCTATTTCTGAGACCTAAAAGATTTGATTAAGTTTGCAGACGTTCATTTAGTCTGATGCAGCTACTGCATGATTGTCACAAATTACGTAGCCTTTTTTTGTGCATCTGTTGCTAATCAATACTTTCGCTGCCTTGCAGCTGATCGTCGCGCTCAGTTTGAGAAATTGAGTTACACAGAAGCGGATTATCAAGAGGAATTGCGGCACATCGAAGAGGTATGTAAAAATTGCAGTGTCGTTGATGACTCCGTTTTGATATCTCTTTATTGATAGGAGAGTGTGATTTTTTAATGTATTTGATGGCAGCTAATCAATTCGTATGGAATTTGTGTACATCAGGTGTTCACACCTCTAGTAGAAAAGTGCAAGAAGCTTGGAAGGGCTATTCGCATAGGCACAAACCATGGGAGTCTGTCCGATCGCATCATGAGCTATTACGGTGACTCTCCAAGGGGCATGGTTAGTTTCGCATATATTTCTGAATGCATTCTCCGTTGATTATCGCTGTCAAGAGTCATAAGATTATTCATATGTTTTTGTTATGTCGCGAATTGAGAGAAGGCATACCATGTAATATTAAAAACGGATGAATTTCTTCAGAATACACTAGTATTTGGGGAGCTTCATCCAAGAACTCCCGAGAATTTCTCAGACGAACTTTTTGCATTTTTGAGTCTTGGGTCTTTCATGACGTCATTTACTTTTAGGTGGTACTTGAGCAACTCGCTACACGTCCACTAATTTATAACGCTGCGATCAACGGACATACAATGCCTACCTCACACTCGATGCTGTAATATAAGCTAACTCATCAAATATGGTATCCGCAGGTAGAGTCGGCCTTTGAGTTTGCTCGTATTTGCCGCAAACATGATTTCCATAATTTCTTATTTTCTATGAAAGCAAGCAATCCGGTCGTAATGGTTCAAGCATATCGGCTTCTAGTGTCTGAGATGTATGTGAACGACTGGGACTACCCATTACATCTTGGTGTTACTGAGGCTGGAGAGGGAGAAGATGGTCGCATGAAGTCAGCTATAGGCATTGGTGCTTTACTTCAGGTCGAACCTTCATCCTTTGATGACATGCCTGCATGTCTCTGTGTTTTTTTTCAAAATCAATCATATGTTGTCCTTTTTTTTTAATCTTTCTGCGAGTATACTAAACCTTATAGCTTGATCCACTTTTTCAGTGAATTTGTTGTGAGATGTTACTTTTTGCACTTTTTTTGACACAAGTTTGTTTTTCAGGATGGTCTCGGCGACACTATTCGTGTTTCTTTGACGGAAGCACCTGAAGAAGAGATCGATCCTTGCACAAAACTCGCAAATCTTGGTATGAAGATTTCTGCAGAGCAGAAAGGAGTGGTAAGTTTCCACGATATTTCCTAAACAATGTGTCCAAGCATTTGGATGCTCCTCGGTTCCCCCTGAGGCCATTCTCATATTTTCCTACTACACCCGTTTTCAAGCGTAAGTTAAATTCTTTGATCAGAACTGGATGTTCAATTCCAAGCATTTAACATTATTGTAAAATACTGTTCTGAACCTGGCGATCTTCATTGGAGGTTAGAATGTAACCGTTTTTTCCTTTTATTTGCTCACTCATTCATAGAATGTAATATACTCCACACCGCGACATTGTTCAGAAAATTTCGTTGGTTTTAAATGCTTAAATGTATCCCTTTCAGCCTGAATTTCAAGAAAAGCACCGGCGGTACTTTGACTTCCAACGGCGGACCGGTCAACTTCCACTACAGAAGGAGGTCAGTCAATACCTTGCGCATCTACTGAATGCTTAAGTTGAAAGATACACAGGCAGGAATTACTTCTTGCATGATGTTTCGTGTTATCTCTTTAAATATTTGTTTGATTGTATAACTTCCAAAGGGTGTTCTGTAAAACAAAAGCGGGTTTGTTCTTATCCTTGAAGTATTTCTAGCTAAAGAGGAAGGAAACCTATGAAATTGAAAGGTTTTCTTGCTAAATAGTTACCTTTTTAGGACTTCAACGTTAGTTCGCCAGAAATCTGATAAATTTTTATTCAACAGGAAGAGCTTGTAGATTACAGAAACGTTTTGCACCGCGATGGCTCTGTTTTGTTGTCAGTGACGTTGGACCAGTTGAAGGCAAGTTAACTTCCTTGAAATTATATTTAATGTAACGTTTTAGTATTTACTGATATTTATGGCTGGTTATTATGAAATCTAATTAACAGAGATAAGAATTCGAGAGTGAATTCTGGATGTCTATGTATAGTCTTGTTCATATGAGTGCGTTATAAGAGTTACGAGTTTTCATGTTTCTAAGTCGAGCGGTTGTTGCCTTGTGTACAGAGTCCAGAATTCTTATACAAAAATCTGGCCACAAAGTTGATAATTGGAATGCCATACAAGGTATAGGCGTTAAACAGATGTGCAACCATTGATTATTAGAGTTTTATCGTGTGTATGGTCTGTGAGTGCCATGGCGACAGGATCTCTTGTTCTATTTGAGTACTGTCAGAGCTAGCGAATGCCTGCTTGAGCCAATTTTGGTAATTTAGATCTCGCTCGGAACGTAACTTATTTTAGAGTACTTAAAAATTCACTCAAGATTTCCCCTCAATTTTCTTATCTTTTGAGAGCAGGACTTGGCTACTGTGGATACGATCCTCCTGAATAAGCTGCCAGCTGTTGAAGACATGGACTCGGTCAGTGGAGAAACTTTTCACTTAGGGCCTTTGTGTTGGATATTGAGCCTTCCTAGTGTTGGTGATGTCTTTCACCTGCAATATTCTGTTTTTATGTTTTCTTACTTGCTTGATGGTCTGCTCCGGATGCAGCGACTTGCAGTAAAGAGATTGATAGACATTGGTATAGGAGTGCTGGTTCCTCTGGTTGAGCAGCTCGCCAAACCTCTTCCACATGCGATGGTTCTTGCAACTCTTGATGAAATTTCTTCTGGATTCCATAAGGAGCTGCCCGCAGGTACGCCACCAAGGTTTACTTAGTTTTATACTTCATGGTCAAATTTAAGTTCTAATATTGAAGCCAAATTACATGAGAAATACCAGTTCGAAGCAGGAGTGGTAAGAAGTAATATTAGTGAAACTTTTGCGAATTGCATGAGTCCGAACTAACAAGTTCAAATATGTTATTAGGCACCCGTCTTGCAGTGACGCTTCGTGGAGATGAACCTGAGGAGCAGCTTGCAATTCTGAAGGATTTGGATCTCATCATGTTATTACATTATCTACCAGAAGGTGATGAGAGGTCAAGTCGTGTACATGCCTCGCGAAGGTAAGCCCCAGATTATTTTAGGAACATGTACTCCGTTTATTTTGGAAAGTAGATATATACTAGCTGGGGTTGCATTTGACTCCAAGTAGATTAAATAGAAAATTTATAAGTTTGTGGATTTGTTAATGAATTTACATGTGTACTTAGTACCAACTTTCTGCTGTCTAAATGCAGGTTGTTTGAATATCTGCAAACTAATACGCTTAACTTTCCAGTTATTCATCATATCAAATTCCCTGCAAACATTAACAGGTATTCCGCATTATATTTTTCGCTTTAAATTAATTACTGGAATGCTGATTACTTTTTTTCCCGAACCAGCTTGCTTCGACAGGACGTGCTACTATTTTCGAGGTTTCTATCCCCAAAAAGCTCCTCAAATATTTCTACATTTTGCAGGGACGAATTGGTTATCAAGGCAGGCAGTGAAGTTGGGGCCATGCTTGTGGATGGCCTAGGAGATGGGGTTTTATTGGAGGCTTCTGATTTGGACTTCGATTTCCTGAGGAAATCATCATTTGGTATGCTTCAGGGATGCCGGATGCGGAACACAAAGACAGTAAGTTCCTCAAGCTTCATGTGGTCAAAAAATCAATTGGAATTCAAAATGTTTCAAGCAGTTGTTGAGCTGATTGTATGTCAATGTAATTAGCATTAGGTGCCTGCAACTGCATTGCTCAAAAATATTTGGTCAAGCCAGGCACCCTACTAAATGCTCTTGTAACCAAGGTATAGATGCGGTTGTCTGTTAACTGAATTCAGTTAAAAGAAATGAATTAAGTTGTTCTGGAATTTGGAGGATTGTAAAACATTATTTCACTTCAAGATAGTGGATGCTGCGCTCTCAGCAATCTGAATTTCACTATAACAGTGCTCTCTCTCTCTCTCTCTCTCTCTCTCTCTCTCTCTCTCTCTCTCTCTCTCTCTCTCTCTATATATATATATATATATATATATAAAAGTTTTTTTATTTTATTTTATTTGTCGAATCCAGGAATACGTGTCCTGCCCATCATGCGGAAGGACGCTCTTCGATCTTCAGGATGTTAGCGCAGAAATTAGAGAGAAAACTGACCACCTACCTGGTGTTTCGGTACGTGATATCCGATTGCATCTTGATTTTGTACCTCGCATTCATTTAGTTTCATACAGTTATAATGGGAAGCCAAGCCTTGACCACCGGTATACGCTGTACGATAGGCTTTGTTAACATCCTATTAAAGATGTTCCCCTTTTGCAGATTGCCATCATGGGTTGCATTGTGAATGGTCCTGGAGAAATGGCAGATGCTGACTTTGGATACGTCGGTGGCGCTCCCGGAAAAATTGACCTCTATGTTGGCAAAGTATGATCCTGATTTTGATGTTTCCTTTACAATCGTGTTTCACTTTATCACTTGATTTAGCTCGAACTCATTCATGGACAAAAATTTTAATTTGCAGGAAGTGGTAAGGAGAGGGATCGCCATGGAGAAAGCTACTGATGAACTCATTCGGCTCATCAAGGAGCATGGTCGTTGGGTAGACCCGGAGCCAACAGAGGCTTGAGTTTATTCGAGGTTGATGGTGTAGCGAAGATTTTACCAGTTTTAACCTAAACGTACATTATAGACAAACACTAAGCATGTGGGTTGGTACTAAGATCAAATAGATCAAGGTCTTTGAGTGATTTGTACATTCTATTGTTGCATTATGTATAGCATGATTGGGAAGGATAGGAAACGCTCCTGTGTAGAGATGGTTGAGGGTTGGAACTAAGCTCCTAATGTACACAACAATTCATTTCATTTCCGTGTGCGAAGGTTTTGAAAACAACCCGTAATCATAAATTTGTTGCAATTGTGTTTTCTCTGTTGTACACGGCAGATTCACTTTTTCTCTAGCCTCCTGGTTTGTTGAATTTCTGTATTTTCATTATTTTGTCTGTTTAATCCGTCGTTTAGGGGAGGTAAGCGGATAGAGGGGGCGCGATCTTATTGGAAGTAGCTTCCAAGTTCCTGAGCATGTGACATTCAGTAAATATTCTAATATTAGAAAACATATTAAAATGGCGTTTCGAAATGAGTTGTATGCGAGCATTTTTTTTAATCATATTCGTGGGTAACATATATTCTTTCCTTACACGCTGGAACTGTTGACCTGTCATGTCTAGTTTTCAAAGAGATCGCGGCTTTCGCTATCACAACTGCGACCATGTTTGTTCCGGCACTGCTGATTGAGGTATGTGCGCCGATCTTGCCCCCTTTGGTTGCGGATCGCAGCGGGTCTTTGGTCAGGAGCCTGTGATGAGCCCCGGCCAGATTAGTGGTTTTTCTACTCCCGTTAACTTTCACGCAATTAGAAAGCCCCACATTTCTTGAAACATTACTTGCAGCTCAAGATCAAGTAAATCGAGGCTACTTCTAGATCAAATTTTGCAATGTATATGTAACATTGTCACCGTCGTTTCCGTTTGACATGTAAGTATTTCTTCGTACTAGGAAGCTATCATTGTCGCAATAGCTTGGGTTCTAGTCTGGACCATGGAGTTGGTCATGTTACTTTTTCGCTCAATCTTTAGACTAGCCGACACCTGATAGCTTTCAGATCGTCCTTTGTGACGTTTGATCTGGTTGCCTCAGACCGAGCAGCACAACATTTGCTTCAGACTCGACCTCCTTGCATCGAATTCCCATCACGGTCCAGGTCATACCTTGCATAGATTTTTTTTCTCACATTTTTCTGGGCCTCTTCCGCCTCTCGCATTCCCCCATTTTGAGATACATGAATTATTGTTGGTTGGGATCTGCGCATTCTCTCGTCTTGTTCCATTTTGAGAGTGCAGAGCAGAGAAACGGATTGTAACGGACGACACTGGCAAGATTATCAGCATTTGCGAAGGCACAGTGGTCTACCTTGTGATGATGATGACATTTGGATCAAATTTGCGACGAGGCAACCTGGGCTTTAGAAATATCGTTTATGCCGCTTTCCTTTTGTTCACTTGCATCATCATTTTGTTCCAAATCGAAAGGTACAGTCGCATGATCAGCCAGGTGGCCAGGAAGCAATCTTTAGTGTTTGCAAATCTTCTCTTGCAATCACAGACTGTTCACAACATATCTGAAGAACAGTACTTGTTACACAACCTTCAGAATAATGATCAGCTTCCAATGTCGACAAGCTTGCAGGATGGGACTCATCAATCCAACTCAGGTGCACTTTCCTTCAGTAATTTTATGTCGTTACAAAATTAAAATAAAAGATTAGTTACATGGCTTTTATTACTGCTGCTGGGCTCCCTTTGTTAAACTTGCTTGGGAAACTCATTCATGTACGACTCGATTTTCATGCATGCTATTGGTTCTGGAATCATTCTCTTCACCTTTGTAGTTGGTGTCCCTTTTTTCAATATGTTTCGCACGAGCTGCTTACCCGTCTTCCACTGACATGTTAATGAAGCAATGAAGCTGAGGAGAGATCACACTGCCTTGAACGATATTAAGACTCATGGAGCTCGACACTTCAGCGGCATACCGCATGGCAAAAGATCTAGAGACGCAAGAAGACATCGAAAAGCCAGGACAACGACATTTTGAACCCCTAACTGAGTCGCGTTACTTGTGATAGTTCTAATATGTTTCAGAAAGCGAATTTGAGCACACTGAATTTTAGCAGAACCTTATTGTAGAACAGGTATTTTATTTCCAGAGTGCTAGCATGACCTTGACTCTTCCCTCAGTGCATTTAGTGATCGTTCCATTGTTTATCATCTGGATTGGATTAGGAAATGTACAACCTGATTGGCCTGTTTTTCAGCGGGTTTGCAGAGGGATTGAATATGCACACAGCTCACTACTTGCCTCTGCAAACTCAGACAAACATACATCCTGAGACTCAATTGTCACCAATCAAACTACTTTATATATTGCACAGGTTTACTCTGCAATCCAATACGGCATTGTTGGGCAACGGTTTGCTATCGAATGGAGTTGCTGCGCTCTAGGAAACCTTCACTAGGCCGGTCCACGTGAAGCGAAACACCTGCAAAATAATTTATGGGTTACAGTACAGGAGAGGGGAATCCAAAGCTCAAAAACATGCTATTATTTGCAGCTTCTCAGGTAATCAACCAAAGCACTATACACGTTGCAAACTTACTTTCGTGTCCATGTCCAACACATCACACAACACATTGCAAGTTTCCCACTGAACAAGTCATTTCGAAACCATCTCACAGAGAGATGTCGTACCATTGTCAACAGAATTACTAATTCAACTGTCCTTCTGCACCCGAGTGTTATCTTCACTCACCGCTTCTCAGAACATACAACTCCAGAAAAGTGGAGAAAATTCCTCACAAGCTGCAACCATTTAAAAGGCGTCCAGCATGTCAGGAAACCTAGCCATTGAATTACTACTTACCAACACTCACGGTTAACTACTTTATAATCTCCGAAATAAAGGTCAGTCGTTAGACACCAGTGACTTACGTGATGTGCGCACAGCATGTGGGTTGCGGCAATGAACACCGAAGTTTGCTTCGGGTTTATGTTTCACGCCTCAACACCCACTCTACCTGACATCACTCAAGTCAGATGTTATCGGCAGGCCACTTTAAATTAGGGTTTTCCTTGAACACCTAATTTAACTTATTTTAGGGTCGCGGCTACTTCACTTAAAATGATGAAATTTAGTCAGATGAAGTTCATCTACTGAGCTGTCAAAAAACATCCATCCTCGACAAACTCTGTCAAACTACTTTGAGTGCAAAATACTCTCAATCAAGAAGTTGATAAGATATTGCCAATATTTGTCCTTCTCCCACCCAATCACGGAGAAGTTAGAATCAACAATGCTAGTAACAAAAAAAATGGAGGCCAACTTGCCACAAAACCTCTAAAGTTGTGAAAATTGGCCATTGCAATGAGCCTATTGGACGTGAAATTTTGTTTACAAATATGAACACTTTTCAACAATACCTTTGAAGGTAGTCTCCTTGCGATAGGCGTGCACCATGGCTTGGTGGTTGTTCTCAATATCCTCAATTAATTAAGCATCCCATCTAGTTGATTCTAATAGCATCTTGTATCAATGGATAGGAATGTACAATAGAGACATCTATAGCCCACTTAGATTATAGAATAAGGCTTTCAAAATGTTGTTGTCGTTGGCATGCTTGTTATGATTATGTTGGGTAATGATGGAAGAGATGCCTTTGACGAGACCAACAAATAAGGCTATCACCAAATAAACCACAGCCATGGCCTTGATTGCAAGCAGCGAAGTAAATGTGTTCATCACAAAGTTGCTTTGATCTTGAATGAAGGCATCCACTCTTGTAAGAACTACACATGAAGATCCATAGATGACCAAGTTTGAGGTGCCACAAATCATAGCTAGAGTCTTAATAATGTATGTACCTTGCACTTTGTATAATGAAACCAACAATTGAATCAAGCCTTTGAGTTGGGTTTTCTATTGATTCAAGAGGGTGTTGAGTCCTTGTAAGTGTATCATGACAATAGAAATAACTTCCACAAGATTCTCGAGTACAAGTAGTACTACCTTGTAAGAAAAATAAAGAATACATGTAAGCTTCTTCTACTCAAGATACTTGCAAATCATTAAGTACTTTTGCTATAAAAAAATTGAACAATTTTTTCAATAACAACCACTGCATGTCTATAAATTTTGAGTATATACAACCTATTTTCTTCATAAGATTGAATTCTTGGAAAAAGTAAGACACAAGATATGTCAAGATGTTGAAAAATTAGTTGTCATACAACTTGATATAGTTTGCTTGGACTACAAGGTCAAGTTGATGCAAAGCACACCACACTTCAACAATCCCATCAATAACCACTTTGACAATCTTTATTGTATTGCTATAAAGTTGACATGTCATTGACTGCTTCCTATCCATACTAATTCTAATAAGTTGTGTCTTTCATTTTAGACCAATAACATCTAGAAGTTTTGAATCCATAATAAAGATCACTTTGATTGTCTTGCGATTAAAAAGAGAAATAACAAGAAGGTGGAGGTTGAGCACCTTAACTTAATGCTCAAATCAAACTTGATAGTAAAATGTATGAGGTGCCTTGCTTTGAGCCAATGTCAAGAGTGAGAAAAAATATCAACTAGATGTGAAAGAACTCCATGATCTTTTGTAGGCTTATAATACAAACCACTCTTATGAACAAAGCCACATGATCTTCACTGTATCCATTAAAATAGCCCATATATGATATGATTTTGGTGACATCCAAAAGACATGTTGCCATTTGGAATAAAGTTCCATACAAGATGAAGGTAATCATGAGACAAAACAAACATGAAGATTTCATCTCTACTTTGTACATATTGTGGTTTTGATTTTACTCTCAACTAAGCTCAACTTGTTCTATATTTGCATCTTTGAACAACTTGAAAATTGACAATAACCATTCATGTGTTGGTGCAAATTTCTTATCATTGGTATTGAAGAACATGTCATCAATAATCATTTCCACAATATCCCGAATGATTGTTAATGTGACTATGTTCTTTCCATCAAACAAGTAGTTTTTCGATTACAGCTCAAATGAGCTATAAGGGTGTTGTTGATAATTACCTAATCAAAAAACTACTTGTTTGAGGCATTAAGAAGGGTGTTGTACTTTGTCTATACCTTTGTGTATTGCAACTTTATATACGTCATGATGATGTCAACATAGAATAGAATTATAAAAGTTATTACATTCATCATCTACTTCCACTTATGCCCTATCACATTGACCTTTTCGAGGCCAAACTTCTCACAAAATAAGTAGTGCACTTAAACGACTTGATTTATGTTTTTATCTTGTAAGTTCAATATGAGACTAAACTTTATCTCTATAGAGGATTTTTAGGGAGTCTATAGTTCCTTCATTATTGTGAATTTGATATGTATATCTTTTTGTGTGATTGGTATGATTGCACATTGTATCATGAGGCATTTCTTCAACCATGTGGGAGAAGACCATTGAGGCCTTATTTTAAAACATCTTCCAAACTTTATTCTAGTAAAAGTAGAGTTTTTTGCCAAAAAGCCCTAATTTAATGTGGCTTGATTATCAATGCTTTATTCTCATGCATCTATGCCTATGTTCTAATCTACCATGGTTGCTACATAAACCATGGTAGAACAATTTGCATTATATTTGCCATAAAAACTGTCGCAATATTATTAATGAAGAAGTTTTTGAACATAAATCAAAGAACTTTTTCAACTACAACTAGGGATTAAACTATATGAAAAAAAATACAAAATTCTCTTACGTACCTTGAGAATCCAAATAATTACAAATCAATTGATATTGTGTACTTTTGTCACATAATTATTAAATAAATATATATTTTTAAATTTAAATTTAAATGATAGAAAAAATAAAAGTAAAAATAAAAATTGTATATGGTTAGAAAAGTTTAATTGTTCATAATCTTCAAACTAATGTAATTAAAAATTTTGCAACATAATAATTTTTGTCGTATTTGATCTTTTTAAAACAAGAATTTTGTAAAAAAATATTAAAACTTCAGCTTACCAATTTTTTTTAATAATAAATAATATCCTTTTCTATTTAATACTAAATTAGGATGATTAAAATATGGTTTTTCTTACTACCGTCGTTCATTCTTATCATTCATTCTGATAGATCTCAAATTCATTTATTGATGCTTGAATAATGAATTGTTTAAACTCTATAAACTTCTTTTAGTGCTTTAAGTTAATATCTAATTACAAGTACAACAGTTTCACGTGTTTCTATCAATGCATACTTCTTCATTCTAAGCACAAATCTTTTAGGCATGTGTTTATCAACTGATGATGTTATTTCTTCTCTTGCTTTCTTTCTTCATTGTTTTGATTTTTACTTTGACCTTTGATGATTTTTTTTAGTTTGGGTTCCTTCAGCGATGGCTACGTACAAATTGGCTCTCGGATACTAGTATATCGCCTCGCTGAAAGAACAACACTCAGCACAGTTGAAGCACAAGCAAAGACAAACCAAGTCGACTTCCATCACGCACCACATACTGAGACTGAGGAGTCCAGTCTGAGAAACAACGCATAATCGGTCCATCTCAACTATTGATATTTATTCCAAACAAAGACGTTTTTCACAGCATTAGATGAGACAGTAACTCATGCAAAAGCAGCAAGAACCGTCGTCACCTCATTCAAACCCACTAACTATACAGGATTTCTAATGAAGCCTTTGTGTCAATATCTCCAAAATCAACCTATCTATGGCGAATACGGGGCAGTTGCATACTGTACTTGCCATTCACTGCCTTTGCGCCCTATTTTCAGTGCCCAATATTAAACCCATAAAAAAGTCATCCTGCAGAGTAAATGCTTTAAAAACACCTGAAAATTAATCTCAGAGGTGCAGCAGGGGTAGCATTATTCGTGCCAAGAACGTGTATTCCCCGAACTGCAAGCTCGATAAATTCGATGGTCTCGTATGTTCGCCTCTACCAGTGGCCTAAACCAAGAGGACATAGAGCGCATACAAAATCCCGGGGATGTATCCCAAGATTGTCAATAGTAGACAAATCCAGAACTCAGCCTGCGAAATACCGCACACACACAGTAAGAACAAACTCTCCTCACTTCCAAACCTGTACTGCAAGAACTACAAACCACCAAAACATCACGACGACGATGATGACGACGACGACAAAATCAGAGAATGCATCAAAAACATTAACACCAAGTCAAACGTGTATGGAGTACACCAAGCCGCAAACATCCAAGCCACCAACTTCCATCGAACCACCACATTACAGGCAGGACGTAGTTCAATCCATCTCACTCACTCACCCCAATGGAGTATCTGAGGAACACTCCGAGTGGAGGCAAAAAGATCGCGAGAATGATCTCAACGAAAGTAGCGGCACCCATGGCTCTCTCTGAAGCAGTGCGTTGCCCTGAAACGGAACTCTACTCTCTCTCTCGCTTCACAAAGTTCGCAAAGATATAAAAGATGGTTTCGAAGCTCCGGTAAGTGCGTGTCTTTGTGTGTGCTTGTCTATGTCAATGTCAGCGGAGGACGGCGTGCGCCTAAAACTATATGCGAAGTGAGCTGCGGGTCGGCTACCTACAACCCTGTTCTGTGACTTTGCCAGGGACCTTCGAATAAAATCCACGTGTGACTTACGCAAGCAGCTTCGAAAATCCCGCCACGTGTACCAACTGGACCTCGTTAACCCACTCTCGACGACAGTGCAAGGAACCTTCCGCGTGGGAAATTGGTCGGTAGTGCGCGTTGGTATTTTTCGACCTACCACAGAACCAGCGCATGAGTCCAAAAAAAGGATATCTACACTCGGCCTGATCTTCGGCAGCGCTGAGAGATGGACGACACGTGGTGCGTAGGTTGCGACGAACGGCTGACGTGGCTTTCCCCGAAGGAAACGTGGTGGATGGTGAGAGGTTGGGAAGAACTAGGAATTAATTAGAAATGATACTTGTTATTAAAAATATGAAGGAGTCTTCTCTTGGAGGATGCTACTATATAGTCAATTATGTTGTATCCTTGAAGTTCAAACATTCTCCCAATTATGTTGATCTTTTATTAGAAATTTTGATTTATTTTTGCAAGTAGATGGCTTATGATTGCAATGAGAACCACAATACTATTTTATAAACCCTAAAACACAACAATACACAATAAGAATTTTCTTGAATATAAGAATTTATACACTTAAACAGAAATTGGAGGCTATATTTTTTGAATTATTATGACATGTGAAAAGATCATAGATCCAATTATCTTAACATCTCAAATTATCAGAATAAAAAAGATAAAAGAATTTTAATTTAGTTTTATTTTTAATTATTAAATATAATTATTTATAATAATTCAAAAAAATATTTACACATTTATGTACATATAGTCTAAATAAAATACATATTTAATAGATACATAGAAGAATTGGCTTTTAAAGTAATATTTTCTTTTATATATATATATATATATATATATATATATATATCTTTTGATAAGAAAATACAAGCTATTCGAAAATTATGTCAATATTAATTTAAGTTGTCTCATTTGAGCATATACTTGAGTGCTATTTTTTTAATGATTAGATGTAATATCTTTACAATAATTTCAAGGTACTTAACTATTAAAAGAAAATAAACAAAGATTATGAAAAATTAAACCAAAATCTATGTTAAAAATAAATAAATAAATAAATAAATAAACAAACTAAAGATATCAATCAATAAAGATGTATAATGATAAATTGGGATTGTTACTTAAACCAATTGTGTCACAAAATAAGCATCTACCAAATTCAATAGAACATGTTGAACATACTCTTAATTTTTCAATACCCTTGTTTACTTAGTATTGCATTGTACAAAAGTCAAAGTCAAGGAAATGTGGCACTGAAAAAAATGTTGAGAGTGAAGACCACCATTTGTCCAAAATTGGCAAGTTTCATCAAGGTTGTCATAGCCCTAATTTTAGTAATAGAAACCCAAAATCAATAGTTTGAAGTACTATGGTACATTTAGAAGAGCTCTTATACTAATAAAATATTGATGAACAATTGCCATAATATATATTTGATAAAAATATTTGCATTTTCTTTTCCTATGGTTGCAAATTTGAGTGTAACTTTACCTTTGAGAATCCTCTCACAAACAAAGTAGTATTGTGCCTTGATGCATTTAGTCTATGTATGAAATATTAGATTTTAGGCTAGATTTATAGAATCTTTATTATTATAATTTAAATAAAAATCCAATATTATAAAATATTATACCTTAAACTGATAAAAATATATTTCTTTACTTGTTGGTTTAACCAAAAGTCTAAATTGATAGCTTGTATTAAATTTTTAAAGTAGTTTGTATAAACAGACTATCACTTAAGTTGTTTTAGATAGAGCTTTATATTTTATCTATGTGGTGCCATAAAAAATAATTACTTGGTATTTGCTTGATCAAAATATGGATCTAAATGATAATTAAATATATATCCACTAATAAATAAAATAAGTTTTCATAGATCTTAACTTATCAATATCAATAAATTCTTTAAGTATCAATATTGAAGACTGTTGAAAGAAGATACTATAATCCATTATCTATTATGTTACACAATATGTGTTTCACTACATTTAAGTATTTTTGTTGTGGTTTCAACATAATACTTACTACAATCCCAATAACATATAATAAATAAAGTCTTGTATTGATTAGGAAATTAAAATTTTCTATTATTTAACAATATTTTGTTGAATCAACCAATAGTGTGTGTTTATAACAAAGTCCTTTTAGAAGAGAGTATGTTCAATTTTTATAATTAGACATATTAAAATATAATAATATTTTTTATGAGTAGATATGTAGTTAAAAGAATATATTTTTGGATACCAAATAAATTCTATACCTAAGAATTTTGTGATCTCATCCAAATTCTTTGTTTTGTATTTTTTTTCAAGCTATTTCTTGATTTGAGAGATATGTTCATGATTATCATCAATAATAAAATTGAGTATTGGTCAAACATCTTCTTTTGATTCATTATATTGATGCATCTTTTTTCATAATGATTGTCTTTAAAATGTAGAATTAGAAATCCTTCTCCTTATCAAATGTTTTGCTACTTCATCTTCTAGCTTTGGAGTAACTTGTAAGAAGTTGATTATTTGAAGCAAATTATCAAATACATTTATTTGGTTGAACAACAAAGTAATCTTCTTTGATGTGTCTTTGAAAAAAGTCATATTAGCACTAATAATAATCTAATACCAAAGTAAAATGAAACATTTAAATTCTTTAGTAGAGGGATTATAGCCAATAAAAACCATTTTCAATGCTTTGAGCTAAAAATTAGTGTGTATTTCCTTTAAAATGTGCACATACAATAGGCTTTCTATAACTGTAAGATTTGATAGATTATACTTCTTTTTATAAAGTTTCTTATACAATGTGACATTTCCAACAAAGACACAAGTAGAGCATTTATTAAATACATATGTGGTTTCATAAATTATTTTAAATCAAAGAAATGATAGAAATTTATCATAAAAGTAAATGAAGTGTACAACTTTTAATAGTGTTCAATTTTTATATTCAGCTATAATATTTTGATGTGGTGTATATATAGCTATAAGTTTTCGTTTAAACTTATGAATAAAATAATATAGTAAAAATTTAGTACTTAAGAGTTTGCCATTGTGGTTAGTGTGTAAGCAAAAAATATTTTAATTAGAATTTAGTTTCAATTACCTTTTAAATTTAAAAAATAACTTACATATTTGGTCTTTTTTTTTTTAGAAAATAAATCCAAATAAATTAGAATGAATTATCTATAAATGTTGAATTGTACCTATTTCAGGAAGAGAATATAAGAAACCTACATAAATTTTTGTGACTAAAGTTAAGAGGGCCTGAAGATTAGATCAATGATTGTTTAGAAATTCTTTTCTAATGAATATTTTGAAATATAAGTATTGAATTTTTTTTTTTTTTTTTTTTTTTTTTGATTAGAAGTAGTTGAAGTATGCTACTAATCATCTTTCAAGTAGCTAAATAATTGGTTGATTATTGAGGTAGTTCATCCATCAATACTAAAGCTTATTAGTATTAGAAAATAAGTGATTCAATTCATGCACTTTAGGCTTTTGTTACAACAATAGATAAGTCAAATATAAAAGGTAAGAACATATAATAAGGCATTGTAGTATTGATTAATGTACCCAATTTATGTGACATTGTGAATATGTTATAACCATTCAAAGATGTAAATAGATAATAGATGCTATTACAAAAATCTCTCGATGCATAATAGTGAATATCTTGTGGATTATCTTTGTCAAGGATTAAAATTTAATGTAGAAGTAAAAAAAAAAAGTCATATAGCTAGCATCCATGAGTTTCTCAATCAATATGAGAAGTCTATGCAAATTAGGCTCATGAAAAAGATTAAAAAAAATTATATTCTTAATGGAAGCAACACATTTGATAGTGGTTAGAATTGTAGCACCACTATCAAAGGTAACATTGTGGCTATGGTCTAAAAAAGATCTCAATTCTTTGTGACGTGGCTTGTAGTAAGTGAATCTATATTCTAATCAAGAATATAAGAGGCATGTTTAATAATATTAATTTCAATGTACTACTTTGGAATTTTATTATTCTATTTATATTCTTTGTAGATCTCAATAATATTAGCATGGTTGAATATTCTAACAAAATAACTACCAAACATATTATAAATTACTTTTTTAGACATAATGTCTTTATTTTTTGTGCAAAAATTCCTCAAATGGTATTCTTTCTATGACATTAATATAAATTAGCTAAGGCAACTTAAATAGATCTAAGTCAAATTGAGAGACAAACAATTCCTATAAATGTTATAACTTAATAAGTACCATGTACATAAGTTTAACTCTATTCACTTTAGCATTGATAAATGCAAGATTTTTATTGACATTATTAAATATGTTTTAAGTCCTCTTCCAAACTTATCCCTTTAGTCATAGTAAAATTTTGAAACTAATATTTGAAAAACAATTCACAATGAAGCAAATCATCTCCAATCTTTACTTAAAGTACTATAAATAGTCCACTATTTCATTTATGTAGTAGGCAATAGTGGATATAATTTCATCTTAATTGTTGTAGAAAGAATGAAAATACTTTTAACCTTCATCTTCTTTATCTTGCAATGAATTAGCAAAGTTGGTAGTAGATCAATAATTACATAATCAAGTGTTGTTTCTACATTAAGATCTTGATTAAGTGTAACAATTAGAACAATGACATTAGGCACAAGTTCAAATTTCTATTCCTCTCATACTTTATTACACATGAGAAGAGACTTAATACAAGTCTTTTAGATGACATAGTTGCTATTTTCATCAAGCTCTTTAAAGTTTAAGAAAAGTTTGGCTACGTTAATTGTGAAAAAAAAAAGAAAAAAGAAAAAAAAAAAACAACATCAAAACAAAACAAAAACCAAAATCAAAATTAAAAAAACAAAAAATTATATATATATATATATATATATATATATATATTGATAAAAGTGATGATAAATTAATTAATGACTTAGACAAACATGAAAAGTTAATAATTGAAGATCTTAGAACTTAATCTCTAGAGATATTCTTAAAAAATACTAAGAATAGAAAAAAATTATGTAACATGAATTCTTAGAAAAATTAAATACTTGAGGTAGAAAGGATCTGTAGAACTAAATTGTTTAAATACCTACAAAAGAAAACACTTGCTCTAATACCATATTCAAATAGTTTTTTTTTACTAATTTGAATTAAATAACATACAAAACAAGAAACTGGAATTGCTCCAAAAACCAATTTTGCTACATAATGAGTAAGTACTTTAAATCTAATAAAAGAACTAAATAAATATGCTAGTATTAGCAAAACTAACAATTATACCTAAATTTGATCATAATCAACCAATGTTCATCATCATAATATCTTGCTAATACTAATAGCACATATGGATTAAGCTTAGATAGCCATATTATAATTACTACCTATCATTATTATGTTGTAACATGGCTGTTAGAAGAAAGAGAGAAGTAAGTATTATATTTTAAAAGATCTTCTTTTAAAATATAGTAGGAAATTATTTTAGAATCATAGATAATAATTAAAGAGATAAACATAAAAATAGATGTAAGATTATAATAAGCAATATAAAAGAAGTAAAATCAATTTGATATATTTTATAGATAAATGAATAACATATTAACATAATTAATGATTAATGCTTACATTTTCTTTTTTAAACATAAATTTTATATTAATATTGATATTAGTTTTTATATCTGTAAAATATTTGAATCTATAAATAAAAAATCTTAAACTTATTGATGTATATTATACAATTCTTTTAAGATTTTTCAATAGTAAATAAATAAATAAAAAAAATAATTAATGTTGAATTGGCTAAATGCTAATAGCATAGAATAAAATTTGAATCTACAATGAATAACCAAGTTTTAATGTATTTTTAAAAAACATGTATATAAAGATAGGCCAATGTTAATGCAACCATAGTTTTTGCTACAGCCACCACAATTTGCCACCTATTTGACATATTTCTTTAGTTTTATTTATTACAATCAAAAAAATTGTTAATATTTCCAATATATAAATTGAGCAACAATGAAATGGCTACAGTGAAATATATATATGTATATATTGATATATATAGATATAATAGACTCAAATCTTACTATAAGTTGTGGTTACAGTAGCAAAAACTATGATAGCAATAGCATTACCTAGGAAAAGCACTCGTTGTGCAATTGATTCAAAGAAGATAGCTGCGAGAAGGCTGCAGATTGCTGGATGGTTACTGCGTCTGGCTAAATCTCTACATGTTCCCCTGTTTCTGACAACCCATTTTTGTTGCACTGCTCTAGAGTAGATGCCCAATTCCCACATTTCTACACCGTTGCTATGGTCTTCGAGGCACCGAATTAGGGTTTCAACGTTTATTGCTAGGGTTCCTGTTTCCTTCTAGACAAAGAACTTCGAAGTCTTCATGGTCTTTCAATCCATACCATTTCACTTGTCGAAGATGTTCGTATGGACACACTGGCTTTAAAATCCCAGCTCGAACTCATTTCTTGCTGAGATCTTGCCAGTTCGTAACCGAGACAGGCTAATGCACGATGAGTGTGCAAGTGCACTTGCAGATAATGTGCACGGCGAGTATTAGAAAACTCTTAGCGTGGTTTAGCAACAGGTTTAGATTGGTGTTGGCCATCACAGTACAGATTACGCTGCCTTTTTGGGGGATTCAAAATTTGCTTCTATGAGTTTGGTTGATCTTGCTACATGGAAAGTCACTAGGGCCTTCCTGGTGCTCTGGTCGGGATACAGTTGCTGTCCCCTTCTTGCCCCGAACTGCGATCATTGGGTAAAGAACGAGCTCCTCGGTGACTGCATGGCGAGAAATCTGTCTTTGACTTTGGTTGAATTACTTGCTGGCTTCGCTCTATTTACCTTGCTTGTGAAACTTCTTGCAGTTGGTTTATGCCTCTTCCGATTCTGTGTGGTCTTGCTTCACCTTGTCGATAACATTGGCGCCGGTTATGACATTGCTTGCAGCCACACATTTGAGTAAGCCCTCTTTCGACTGCCTTCAAGTTCAGAAACTGAGGTGCCAATGTCAATTTCAATTCCGTCAGTTGTCGGGAATCTGAATTGATATCTTAAGTTCCTTAGCAGTTCAACCTGAGGAAGTAATTCGTATTTCAATGAAATGACTTGTTGATCCCTTCATTGTGAGCTTGAATTTTTCACTCTAAGTTCGCTCATCAGCAATTCACATGTCCTTGCAGGGAAAACTTTTTGTGTGGTGAATATACAATTCTTCAACACATGCTAACAACACCAAAGGAACTGCCTGTACTCCTTGCAGTTCCAAGGATTGTAAAGCATGGTCGCTTCAACACTCGCTGGAAGACTTATGAATGAGTCAGATGTCGACGGCCACTTGAATGCAACACAATTACAGCTGAGTCTACAGGAAGCATTGCTGGAGCAGGTCTGAATGAGTGTCTGTACCTAAGAAACCTTCACTTCGAAAATTCTGAAGCTGGAACTGCATGCGATGAAAGCTCTTCGACTATCACATGTAATCGGACATCGCAGCCTCTCTCTGGCACGAGTTCAGCACCATGAGGCGAGGTCAGCCATCATATTGTCCACTTTCCCAAAACAAAGTCACTCTTCTACAAGTAAGTGACATGAAGCTTGACAGTTATCTGAATTTCCCTTTCATTTGTCGATGATACAGCAGCAACAATATGGTATTCGAGCGCTTCTAATTAGTCTAGCGATATGTCTCCGTTTCAAGGTCAACGCTTGCCCAGCACTGTGTGTCGGTCGAGGAATTGTCGAACAACGACAAGATTTCAGGTTCCTTCTCCAATCTGAAAGGAAGGTAAAAATCTTGTCAGTTGACAGTTGTAAGTCACTGACCAGAATAATCCTTCGCTGACCGATTGAATCAGGTATAGATCACGTAAGTTCATGTTGGAGTCGTATCAGTGCTCCAAATTACGACAATCAGGACCAAGAATATTGAGCGAAGAATGACGGTTGTAGTACTCAATGTGCGCATAGATGCTTTCGCTGTACTTATACAGCTATGTATGAGGTTTTACTCTTTAGATAATTTTTCTACCTCTCTGCCTGACAGGTCTGCCTTGTTAGCTCAGTTGGTTAGAGCGTCGTGCTAATAACGCGAAGGTCACAGGTTCGAGACCTGTACAGGGCAATGCTTATTGACCTATCTAGGTCAAAACCTTGTGATCGTGTTTTACGCGATGTCGGCTTGTCCCCAGTTCAATCATCTTCATACCTCTATTCTGATCAGACAGCTGCATCTGGTCGATATTTTTGTTCTGGGAGTGTCAGAAGTTATTTCCATGCACTTCGAACCATTTCACAGACCTCCACGTCTTTAGCTTTTCTTCCATCGTTTTTCGATTTTCTTGATGCCTTCCTTGTTTTGTTCTCCGAACTTGTGAGTGTCAGGCCTCGAATTGAGTCCAGAAGCTTCTGCGGACCTCCGGTTTTATTAGAATCTGTCCTCATTTTCAATCCATCTCTTGCCTTTGAATTTCATGTAAACATTAACGTCAGGCAGTTTTCCAGCACTCCCTGCTCTAAATTTTATTTTAACGATCTTACAAGCATGAAGTGCAAAACAAGAATCGGAGTCAACCAACCTCTCCTTTACGTTAGTTGTGGTTTTCACGGGCTTGGTGAAGGGTGGCGAAGCTCTCGCGATCAGTTTCGGTAGATTTACCATACACAGAAGTAACATTAGGATCATATTCTAAACTTGGAGATGTCTTTGTTAGGTTTCTAAATTGGGCTGTGACAAAGCGGGTTGGCCACACTTCCGAATCCCATCTTCAACTGTTCCTTTCTTTTAGCAATCATGTCATTGATTCCAAACTCGGGTGCCGGACAAATTCTAAGTGATTAAAACCGAACTCAATACTTTGAATTTCAGTGTCCGCAGTAGTGGCTATGAGCCAGCTCTTTAATTCCATCTGTGTTCGATTGTGAAGCAGACCTCAAATCAAGAAGACTTTGCAACTTTATTTTGATGCATGTCTAAAGTGAGATGCTCTAACTGGGTGAAAGCATGTATTTTGTCCTGATTCGGTAGGTGAGAAAATAAAACTGAATTCGACATTAGAAACTGCCTTCGTCCTTTGTTATTCAATGGGGTTTTTATTTCACGAGTGCTAGTTTGATTGCAGCTTCGTAATCACAACATGAGTTGGATAGCTTGCATGGCCGCAGCTTCAAAGGTACTGCATGCGGTGGTAGGATTCATAATGCTTGCTAACTTCGCATGCAAGTGCACGATGGTTACACAAACTCTGGAAACGGAAGTCACGACTTGTAACATACAAACTGTAAAGCAAGTCACGTGCTTTATATGCTTGTATCTTCACAACAAAAGCCTATGTTATACATTTAATTCATTGGTTTTAATTAATGAAGCTATATTATACATTTAATTTTTTAAAATATAATTTATGTAATAATAAACATTTTCAATAATAACATATCTAATATTTTTATGTAAAAATTCATAATTCTTTGTCAACATATGATTTTTTTCAATAGGTATAAATGATCATTTATAATAATTAAAATATATTCAAATTTCATAGAAAAAAATTATAGGTGGTAGCATGTTATGTGATTCTAACTTGGAAATATTTTTGGCAATATGGCATTACAATATTAGCATTAAAATTTATTGTGTTAAGGTATGATTTGTTGTAGTGTATGTGTCTTAAAACTTTTATTTCATATTACATATTTTACTAAAATTTATAGATTATAAAACATAATAAAAATAAATATAATAGTACTAATTTTGATTACTTAGAATACTGATGTCTTGTCACATCAAATAATACAAGAAGTGGTTGTAGAATAGTTGCAGTGGACTTAGAAGGGCCATAACTTAATAGTAAATTTATAAAAATAGATTTTATTAATATTAATCATCTATTTTAGAATAAGTAATTTTTAGCTTTATATGTCATAAAAAATAAATGTATTTGATGGGATTTGATTATAAATGTTTGTATTAAAAAGGTTATTTTCATATCTAAATTTTATAGCTAATATCTTAAAGATATAGAAATAATATGTTTATTGTAACAACTAAGTATGATAGTTCTTACCATCACGTCTATATATCAAAAAGCACTAAAAATACTCTTATTCTATTTCAATTTTAAAATTTAATTTATTCTTATATTTTAAAATATAAAAAATATTATATAATTAAATATTTATTTTTTCATTATATATATATATATATATATATATCTATTTTCTATATTTTTGATTATTACTTAATAAAAATATATTGATTAAATGGTGGTATCAAACTAAAAAATCTATCATAAGTATTAATAATTAAAAAATTGAGCTGCCAAATGTTTATACATGCAAAATAATTCCAATGAGAAAAGAAAAATGGTTAGAATAGAAGATTTTAAAAAAATGAGAAATTTTACAAATGATAAATTCTTGAATTAACATTTTATTTTTATACATTGACTTTAAATCAAGTTTGGTAAGACTTGCACTATTTTTGAATATGATATTCAACCAAACTTTAAATTTTTGTATGAATATTTATAAGTATTACTAAAAAAAAATTAAATATAAAAAATCATTAGTTAAAACCACTAAAATTATAATATATAAATAGTTTATAAGTGATTTGGTAGAAGGTTTATTAGATTGTATTACAAAAAATGATGTTTAATCTTATTGCAACTAAGAATCTATAATTAGATTGAATATTAGAAAAGATGAATATTAAATAATTAAAAGAGCTACTATCTAAGTTTAAATAGGATTCCTCTTGATAGATGAAACCACCTTTATTACATAAAAGAACCTAACTTATTGATATCATTGTTGTAAAATGTTGCAATATTTATTAAGCAACAAATTTGATCTCCTACCTTGTACTTCTAAGCTTAAACAAAATAACAAGTAGAAAATAAATATTGTTTGTTTAGGCCAATTTATTTATTGTTGATTATAATCTATTAAAAGTTTATTTTTGCATTAAATTTAGAGATGCTTTTGGAAAACTCGTGTCTAATAATTTTTACAAATCCATTTGTATAAAATTTTATAAACTTCTATTTTTAAAATCTTATATCAAATTTGTACTACCTCTTTTGAACTAACTTTATTTTTTTGTTTAAAAACACTATCTTAACCTTTTATTAAATATATATAGTATAATTCTTAAGATCATTGATAATATAAATATTTTAAAGAAATTTAAAATCTTATATACATAGTTTATTAAAATTGATATAATAATACTTAATTTTAAAATATGAATTAATAAAAAAATTTAAAAATATGATTTAATATCTATTTATATACAAAATATAAATATATGTGAAATAATTATCTTATCACATTTTACATTTTTTTTGTATTTTAATGATTGAATCTATTATAAATTCTTAATTTGTATTTTCTTGTTTAATATAATATTTATAAAATAAATTATAAAAATTTAAAATATCCTTTATATAATTTTTTTCTAATATGTAAGTATAAATATTACTTAACTTTTTATAACTATGATTTTGTATTTTTATGTTTTTAATACTTTAAAATAAATTTAAGACACAAAATATGTATCCTAAATATAAATAATTCTTAATCTTTAAAAAATAGTATTATTTTTTTTTAAAAAAAATACGTATTATTTTTTTTTTTAAAAAAAAAACAATTACATTTTAAATTTATTTACATTTCTCTACATAAATTGGCTGCTTCTAAAATTTCATTGGTTTTATAAGTTTGTTGGATTTTATAATTAGCTGGTTTTATGATTTGGCAGGTTTTTATAAATTGGCTGGTTTTATGAAATATTGGCTTCAAATTTATAAAAATTAGAAAAATATTAATTTTAATTAATACAAAATATAAATAAATTAGCTGTTTATAATTTAAAAATTTAAAAATTATTACTTCTAATTTGGTTGTGAATTTAATTAATAATTTTAATTCTAATACATTTAATTTTTTATAAATATATCATTAAAAACTTATTTACGATTATATTTTTAGTTCTGTTAATATTATTTGACTTTACGTTTCTTATGATTTAACCAATTTAAAGAAAAAAAACCCATATATATATATATATATATATATATATATATAAATATATATAAATATATATATATATTATTGTGTATTTTTCCATGTTATTTTAATTTTTTTTTTAATCTATGATTTGATTAGATATAATATTTTTTAAATAATTGTGAATAAATTAAAAATATATGGTTTGTTTAAAATCATTTGTTGTAATTATAAAAATTATAATGACTTTGCATTTCGTAAATTATCAATAAAAAAGAAGATGCACTTTTATTTATTTTATTTTATTTAATTTTTTTAATTCTAATGAAAACTTAATTTTTTTGAAAATAATTCAATGACTTTTTAATAAAATAATTCATAGAAGAGAATGTTTTTAATTTAACAACACTTGAAGTTAAAGCAAAGAAAATCTAACTGAATAAGGCATTTGTGACTAAAACTTTTATAAGTATTATTAAAATAAAATTTAACTAATAAAATTATAAAACAAAATTATATATATATATATATATATATATAGCCATACCTATCAAATCTGACACTGTTATATTTAATATGCTACAATAGCCAATACAATTTTAATTCACTAACTTGGTTCTTTAATTGATAACTAATAATCTCTAATATTTAATATCCAATAAATGTATTAGAAAATATTAGGTTTTTCAGGTGCAAAATTTATTAAGTTTTTTCTTTCTTACAAAAGAAATTGCCTAAAAACCATTGAACAAAGCAACCCTATTTCTTAGCATTTGTCTTCTTGCAGATGTTGTTGTATAAAGTGAATTCTTGCTTGAAAATACATTAGGCACTTAGATATGGAAGGTAAATAAAAAATACAACAATAGGATCCTACCAAGTCTAATAGAATCTTGAATAAATTCTAATTAATCCTTAAAAAACCTAATCAAATTTTAACCAATCCAAAAACATTTAAAGAATTTACTTAAGAAATATAAAGAAGTCATAAATTAATTTCAAAGAAAAATAATAAAGGAATTTTAAAGAAATACTACAATAGAAATCTTAAAGATATAATAAGAACCTTAAAAAAAATTAAAATATAAATCTTAAAAAAATGACAAAAAACCTTAAATAAATCTTAAGTAAATTCCAACCAAACCTTAGTATAGTCCTTAATAAATCCTAATGAAATTCTAAAAACTCCCACATAAATCTTAATAAAATCCTAAAAATATTAGAATAAAATTTTAATTAAATTCTAATCAAAATTCTAATTAAAACCTAATGAAATTCTAACCAATTTCTAATCAAATTCAAAACCAATCCTAACCAAATCCTAATCAATCCTAAACAAATCCTAATCAATCCTAAACAAATCCTAACAAAATTCTAAAAAAATCCTAAATCTTAACCAAATTTTAATCAAATCTTAAATCAAATCCTAATGAAATCCTAACAAAATCCTAAATCCTAAACCAAATCCTAAAAAAATCCTTAGTAAATCTTAATTAATTCTTATATCTATTTTATAATTTTAATAAATATTAATTGAACCATTGATCTCATCTAAAATTTCACTCACACTTCAATCTACAAAAAATTGATACACTCATATAATTTTAAAAAAATTCAAACTTACCAATTGAACAAAAAAGCTCTTAAATTTCTTGGATGTTGGCTATTTTCCTTTTCCAACCTAAATGTTGAACTTTCAGCAACAAATTTTCCTTGCTGAACTGTTCCATTGCTTCAAAAATCAGCTAATGCATAGATTTTAAAGTCCAAATAGTTCTCACAAATTTTTACTTCAATCAAACTAGTAATTTTGCAAGTTCAAAAAAATCCTTACTTTCTCTAAGCTTTAAGTATCCAAGATCATAATATGATAAAACTCTCATAGCCTTCGATTTAACTATTTGATTGATATCAAATTTTTTAAATATATTAAAAAAATATATAATGACAAATTCACAAATTTTCACTTGTAAATGTGCTATGACACTCAAATAATACTCAAAATTATAAACTTCTTTTTATTTCTCAAAATTGGAAACCACTAAATACATCTCTCAATTTAAAAAGTCTTCAAAAACTCAATTTGTCTTAATATCACATGAAACCAACTTTAAAAATCCTTCTACTAGTTTTTTTTCAACTCCTACTCTCCAATCAATAAAAGAACCTTGCAATTGCCATAGGTGCACAATTTTGTGTCTTGGGGTCTGATTTTGACTATCAATTCTTGGTATATTGAGGTAATTTTTGCTAAATTCTATTCTTAAATCCCTCCTAAAGATGTCTTTATCAATTATTTATCTCATTTATGCTCCTAAAAATTAAGTAGAAGTCTCTTCTACAAGAAGGCAATATTAACACTTATTAATTTTTATTATCTCTTTGTCTAATATCTATATTTTTAAGATAATTTGCTAAAATATTTTTAATTAAGCTCTTCTATAATATAATCTTTCTTTTCTTCTTTTACCTAATGGATGTATTAGTATACAACAATGTAATTTTGTATTATTTTTAATACTTTTAGAATAAGCCCTACATCATTTTTCAAAAGTTTTGCTACAATTTTGGTTAGATATTTTAGTACCAAAGACTTAACATCCAAGCTAAGTTAGAGCCCATATGCTTCTTTTTTTTTCTCCCTCTTCAAGAAATTTTTTTTCAATTAAAATGGCTAGTTCAAAAATCTCCTTGTCTATGAATTCATGATGAATCTCTTCTTCATCTTTTAGGTTTAGCAAAGTTTTAATATACATTGGTTTCTTCAATCTAAAAATAAATATTTGAAAAGTAAGCTCTTTTTTTAATGCCAATTCTTCTTTTTGCAAGTTAAGAGCATATGATTTGTTTTTATTACAAGGCTTACCTTATAAGACATCTTCTATCAAAGGCTAGTTATCTTTATGGTAGCAAAGTAACATAATATTTTTGTATTTCCAACAATTGGAGATTGTATCAAAAGAATTATCATTCCATGCTATCTTAATCCATCTCATTGTTTAAAGCTCGTCCTTCTTATAGATGTCAATGCATGATTTATCATCTTCCTCACATTGACGATAGAAGCTCAAGTAGTACATTTCCAAGTAAATAATGATTCTAGCATCTATAGGTTGTATTTTTGACATTGTGTTTAGAGGCAAAAAGAGAGTTCTAAGGTTTGTAGGAGCAACATTCTTAACTACATAATATATATATATATATATATATATATATATATATAAATGCATTGTCTAAAATAAAAAGTATATTACAATTAATTTTTTTTGTTTTGGAATCAATATGCTTAAGCCATTCTTATAACAAAGGTCCAATCATTAGAACTTTTTTATCATTGTAATAGTAAAACCTGAGCTCAATACCAATCTTCTTATTAAAATACTTTAAGAAAGGTTCTAGCTTATCATTGCCATTAGCATTACTAGTGAAGGTTAGAATCAATTAAGTTTTGTTAGATTTACTCACTTAATCTGCCAAGAGGCGATAGCACAATTTGAAGCTATAGAGTAAAATGTTCATGTTTTGTCTATATTGTAAATGTGGTGCAAAGCATATTTATTGGTTTAGTGCTTAATTTTTGGTAAGATGTCAACTATCCCATTTACATCTGCTGAAATGGCATCTCTCTATATACAAAATTATTTGAAGATGTGACTATTTTGAAAAGATTAAAGCTAACTTCTAAAATACTTTGGTTGTTTGTTCTTGGAAATACCAAGTTGGTACACAAAATTTATGGTCTTGGCTTGAAGAAATGAACCAAATAAGCAAATTCCTTTGTGCTTGCATTGCAACACCTAGTTGGCCAAAGTGTTGTCTAGCTATGAATAGTTCATTGTGTGCCATTGCTTCATCTTCAAGTCCATTGGGATCATATTAACATAGTGATTCTATTTCTAAAGAATCTCAAAAATAATGCTTTAAGTGGGTGCTTTTGCTAGACCAAATTCATCCTTGGCCTAAGCTACCAATTGCTTTTGTATCATTGATGGTGCACTATCAAATCTTATGCATATTATCTTCTTCTATTTGTTGCAAAGATTGCCAAGAGCAAGGGCTTTTTGTAAATGAGGCATTTTGTAATGACTTGTAACAAGAAAGAGCTATAAGAATGTTTATTTGAGAATAAGAATATCTATGCAAGAATGCATGAATGTGGATGTTGTAAGATAAGATGACTGTAATAAAAAAAAAATTAAATTAAATAATTTGACATATTACTTAAATTGATCCATTATCAATAGAATATAGATCCTATTCTACTAGATCCACTCTATTCTACATTTAGGTCTATTTTTTAAATTTGATCTCAGATCCACTCTACTTTGCTCTCAAATCTACTAATCTGTTCTAATCAAAGATCAATAAAGATCATTAACACCTATCCTGGTCTAAATAAAGATTATACAAAAACAAATTAACATCTTTTTTAAAAATAAATCTAATTTACCTTCCATAATAAATAATACAAAAAATAAATTAAATCACTATACTCTATTATTAAGTATCTATTCAGTATACAATTTTAAATATTTTATAAAATTTTATGTTTATAAATAAATTATTCAAAAAATTATTAATTTTTTTAACAATAGGAATTCTTTATTAAATAAATTTGTGGTGGATTAAATTTGAAGTAACTTTAATTTGATTTTGCAATTTTTAATGATACATCTTAAAATTATGTTCCAAATATAAATGATAGAATTTAAGCTATGTACAAAAAGAAAATTCTTGTTACTTGCCATAATTAAGAATGAAATTTATTTTTATTTGTATTTTTATCAATACCACATACCTTTACTAGCTTAAATCCATTTCTACTGTATTTTTTATTTTTTATTTTATTTTTTTACTTTTGTTATTATTTCTGAAGTTTGTCTGTAATAAGTGATCTCTTAAAAATCCTGTGAATTTTTCTTGCATCTGTTGATTTTCACTGCAACCCTTCTTTTCTTTTCTACTAAGTTAATATATGTAGAATCACCTTTATTTGTAAAAGATACAAACTTTATCAAAAAGTATTTAACCAGATTTGTGATGTATTTTTAAAAAATTTAGTTTTTGTTTGTATATGTATTAACAGGATTGTTTCTACAACTTTAGGTGTTGATTGTAATAAAATTATTGAGCATATATATATATATATATATGCCCAAAGACAATAATCTGTAATGTTAACATAATTTTTGAAGTACAGATTTAAGTATAAAATCTCATTCCAATCTTGAATTCACAATTTTCATAATATTATTAAGAGATTTACTTGAAAAGTTTAATTTCTCAAAAGAATAAAAAACGAAACAAATCTTGAGACAAGTGTTCAGCTCACCACATCTCATAATTAGTGAATTAGTGGTGCATTCATATATTAGTAACACATTGTGTTTTTAGATGTGGACCATGTGATTGACATTCATTAAACTCTTCGATTCACTTTTAAAATGAGGAAAGGACCTCCAAAACGAGGTAGTCAGATATGGAAATTTGATTATAATTTTGCAAACAAATAGTTTTGAACATCCCAGCTTATCACCAAATAAGACAAGTGACTGGCAAATTGAGGAACTAAGTAAAACAATTTTCTATAGAAGTGTCACTGCATCGTTACCGCACTGATATAAAGATACCTCAATTCAAGATTCAAATCATCGCTAGCTACAAGGTTTATGCAGTGCAAGAAAACATCAAACAATATCACCAGAAGAGGGAGAGGGAAAACAAAAGGAAAAAAATAGAGTGAAAAAAACAGAAGAAACGAAGAAAAAGAAACAGAACAAGACAAAACAAAACAAAACAAAAACATAAAGAAGAGAATGTGAGGGGAAGAAGACGACGAAGGAATGAAGGAAAAAACGATGGAAATGAGAGACCTTCCGCAAGAGGAGATAAATGAAATCCACTGCGGAGAATGTTACATATAAATAGTGTAATGTGGCCATGTTCCTTGTTGACCCATTTCATTTGGCAGTAACCATTGCATATCTGGACTACCAGCGACTCAAATCAATCATGATCTCCAGATTTAGAGGAAGTTTCATTACTCTTGGTTATACTTAAACTGTAACGTAATATGCTAATCAAAAGCAGATATTAGAAGAGAACTAATCTTGAGAATTGCAGTACATATTGCCCGCATGCTGAATTCGACCAATTCATTATTGACAAGAGGCCTTGAACAAGACAGAATTCATAGTCGTTGCAAGAATAAGAGATTTCAAATAAGATTTTGGTATCCCTCTACTCAGGGAAGATATTTCGTTCTCTGCTGTTTTTCTTACGCTGGAAGATGCAGTAGCTACAACCAACGAATGCGCACATAGACATGAAGAGGAACAACAAGGATCGGTCACCTGAACCCAACAAACAAGAGCATTCTTGTTGTACTGGTAACGTAACAGCGTTCGCTTCCATGAGGCGCTTCTTCAGACTGTATACCCGATCCTCACAGCTTTCAATCTCATAGTAATAGGTCGATAAAATGGTGATGCGTTGAAGCGGCTAGTAATGATGATTGGGTTTACAGGCAGCAATCATCCACAAGTCAATCCAATTTGAATCCGAAAAAAACTCAAAATAAAACCTATTTCAATAACAACTAATAGTTGAGGATGGGAGACGTGACATGAAACTCACCATGACAAAAATGCCCTCTCGGCGGGTTGGCAGCTCCTCAAGCTTGGCAAGAACTTCGTCACCTTTCGTAACTTTCCCAAAGATAGCATACTATGCATGTACCACCGTGAACATGTTAGCAACTACACAAGACCCATGCCCTTTCAATCATTAAATCTGCTGCACTTTGGAGGTGATGATAAGCAGCATGATCGTGGAAAATCTCAAACCAACGTGAACTAGGGCGAGTGTGCAAACCTGCCCATCCAGGTGGGGTGCGTTCCCAAGGAGCATTGAGAAGGATGATCCTGCACTGTCAGGGTCGCTATACCTGCATGTCAACCAACACCGCGAAGGAGTCAACCTTATGGGTTCGGTACTCCACAGGGACTCTTCAGTATACTCGCCAGTGCAAGATATAACAGAACAGATGTGAAGATGACTGACAACATACAGAGACAAATTGTGGCTCAGTTGTTGTTTCTAAGTTTTCTGGAAGAGCCGTGAGAGCACAAAACCTTAATAATGCAGGAGCCTGCAGATCAACAAGGCTGTCGATGATTGAAAGGAAAGTGTATCGAATATACGCTCCAAGATATATTAGGGGTTTGGGAATCGTAAAAAGAGAAAGCAAAGCTATGAGATAGTGCTCACCTCCCCATGGACAAGATGCCACGAACATGCTTCACTTGAGAAAATTCACCGGGAATAGTCTTCTTGCCTTCCTGCCGTTGCTCGGCGTTCATTGGCGCTTCACGGCCCCCGATCACGTCAGCGACCTGGGCTACAAAGCCTTTATCAACCTGCCGACCCCGACCCAGTCAGCAACATCACATTGCAGGAAAATTGGTTGTAGATCGAACGTTAACAGTGTCAACATAAGATCACCCCTGTAACGACCTAAGCACCACAGATTACTACTTAAATCGTAAACCTGACAGCGCCAAACGACATAACCGGTTTAATACTGCACAGGAAAGTATGAGGTATTCCTTACTCGGAAGAAGTGATTCGTGTTGTAAGCGCCAAGACGAACAAGTTTCATAATGTGCGCCACCGTCTTGGGAGCAACATCTGGGTAGAACCCAAACTCAATATCTCCATACGTGGTCTGCCCAAGCAAGTTTTCCTTTCAGATTTTACACGACCAACATGAAAGGAAATCTTGTACAATTTGAACATATAATATTAAATGAAAGGATGTTGTAATATTCTAACATCTTACTTTGGCTTACTTCAGACGTCCAAATACTACTCTTTGGCTGTCACCCCCTCTTCTCTAAGCCTGACCTCCAAAAGACGTGTTACAGTGAAAACATCTACGCTCTAGGTTTTCGCATTTTGGAATGTGGAAGAAGAATAATTCCAACATTATAGCTCAGAATGTAGCTTATCACCATTGTCGTCAAACACCCAAGTGCACGTCACTCTAACATTAGGTTGAAAGGAAAATTGGAGGGAGCTTTGACACGAGCCAAATCCCAGGACAACCAACGAGATGTATAACCTGAAAGACGACACGGGTATTTCCTAGCTTGGGCTCCACTTGCGCATGACTACCAGCAGTGAAGAGCAGAAGTAGGAGCAATAACGAGGTGCGCGCCAGCGGAGCTCCGGTGTCCGCCATAGCCACGCCGTTCTCGACTCAAAGCTAGTTGTCTGCGAAAGAGGGGTACAGTTTGATGCGGCCAAATCACAAACCGTTCGATACAAGAATTGATTCCGTGCTTGGTTTGCGAACACAGCTACAGTGGCAGCGACTCTTCAACTATGCACTTCTGAAAAACCTCGTCTTAAGTTCCCACATACTTGGACAGTGTTGACCAAGGTTTTGTGCAATGTTGATTACCGAAATCATTGTCTGCACAATCGCTCCCTTACACGAGGGGCATTGCTTGCATAGAATTCCGAAACTCATGCAACAGATGAGATTTGGAAAAATTACTTCAAAACAGATGTATTCATTTGTTCAAGTTAGACATGGTAAAAATTGCAATTGCTTTAAAGGATATCCCCAAGAGACAGGTAAGCTTGGCCCCCCTAGTTTAGAGAATAAAAGTTACTGGTTCACTTTGTCAACAGACACAACTCCGAATACCCCAAGGATCTGTGCTAGCTCAATCTGTGAGACCGTAGGATTGCAGACGTCAAAATTCATAAAGAGGGCTGGCTAAATGAAGTGATTCTTACAGTTGGATGTTTTCACTTTCACAAACTTGTCGCATCGTGCAACGTTACCCCATGACAAATCCTTGTGATAATCCGGGTAAGAAATCGGTGTGATAATTGTAACGGTCGAAAGCTGGACTGAGAACATCAAAAGCTTAAGGATTTCCGATTGCAAGAGGTGCACTCCATATTTAATGAATGATTCGAACATCGAAAACCAAGCTGATTGTTTATAAAGGCCATTAGTTCACAAACTCAATCTATATATTAATTTCGATGAGAGTGAATCGATTTCGATTGGGTTTATGATACATTTTTTTATGGTTCCAGTTGCATTTGAAGTTGCATTGGGTTTTGATTTTCATTGAGTTCCAATTCATCGCGTAGATTTTGATTGGATTCGGTTGAAGCCGCATTGGATTTTAATTTTCATTGAGTTCCAATAGCTCATCCAGGAACGTTATCTGCGAAGGATTTTGATTAGGTTGTTTCAAGTATGGACACTTGACCTCCTTGGTCGTGTACTTGCATCTGCTATGTGGGGTATTTAGTTATCATTTTAATGATCAATATTATATTGAACTTTTGCTTCGTGATCTTAATTTCTAGATGTGTGTATACTTTCGTTGATCTTCTATTGCATTCAACATTACTTCTCCATTGTTGGTTCGCTTCTTTTGATTCTTTTCATGGATGAAGTTTCTACTACAGAATCAAACCTTATTCTTTCATGATCTTCATAAGTCTATTCAATGGGATTTACTTGCAAGGTGTGGTACTACAATGAAGTTTCAGGTCTTTATGTGATTTGTGAAAAAATCCACCTCAAGAGAGATAAAAGAAAAACAATGCATAATCAAGCAAGGAAATAGCTAATGTATCGATGCAATTGACTGTCGTCCTTGTAGAATTAATTGCAAGTAGGATTAAGTAGAGCATGTTAGAACAATATAAAGAGATTCTATTGTAACTCAATCGAATGAGTGTGATTGGTGGCACAAACTCCTTTTCTTCCTTTCTATCAAAAACTTTTATTTTTTTCATATGTTATGAGCCACAGGTAATAGAGGAGCAACTTGCAACTCTCTTCATTTGAAAACCGGCAATGCAGATGCCTATTTTGAACAATGTAAAATTTCCCGTGAGTGAAATTTTTCATGAATAAAATTAACGATTGAAAATTTACAATTGAGTGAGTGCAATTGCAGATGCAAAATGATTCAGAGAATAATACTGGGAGCTCATGTATTTTTTTCACTAGCATCTTCAAGAAACAAGATTGCAAGTGAATAAAAATCTAGTGATAGCACCTATCAATCTAACTTCTGTGATACTGTTGTGTACCACATTCACTTCAGTAAGTTGTTATGTTTAAGCCAAAAAAAAAAAAAAAAAAAAAAAAAAAAAAAATCGCATATAAATTATTCCATAGTTTACTCAAAATTGATAAATATCACAATATCAAGTTTGTAACTATTTTTTTAGCACAATAAGTAAAAAGATATATAAGAATTATTTATTCTGTGAATGTGTTTTAGAACCATGTTGAATTTAAGTTATTTTTTCTTTTTTCATTGTATCTCCAATATAAGATTAGCTTAATTATTATTGTATGCTATAACTTTTATTTTACAGGTGTGTTATAAGAAGAAGAAAAAAAAATGAATTGATGTTGATTTTTTTAAAAAAATTAATCTCAAGATAAATTATTTTAATTACAATAGGTGATTGCCTTAAAATTTAAGGAAATAATTGGGTAATTTTTTTCAATTGTATTCTGTAATAATACCAAAGGATATAATTAAAATTATAATTAAAATCAAAATCAATACACATTTTTATAAAAAACTATATATATATATATAAATATATGATAACTCATTCAATTTTCAACCACATATTGTATATATTTTAAAATTACTTTAACTTGTATTTTAAATTATTATATAATAACCATTATAATTTTATTTATTATAATATTAAAATAATTAGTATTCTGTTGTTTGATTGATTTATTTATTCGTGTTTTGTCCATTTGTGAAGCTTGCATTTGCAACACCATGACCCGATTTTTTATTCACCTAAATATTTTAAATACAATTTTTCTATTTTCACTTATTATCTCTACTTACAACAACAATAACACCCAAGATAACATTATATCAAAAGTTGGATATAAGTTTATTAATTAATATTTTTTTAGTTTATCAATAATAACGTGTTATTTATTGATAATATATATATATATATATATATATATATATATTTCATGTGCAATTAATTATACATTAAGTCCATGACTTGATTTGTAAAAGGTAAATTATCCTTTATAATATTTCTTTAGTCCATCATTTTTTTTGTTTCTAGTTTTTGTTGTTATATTAATGTAGAATTAATTTTGAAGAATTTGAATGCAAAATTTCCTGCTAATGTATGAAGCAAAATAACTTTAGAAGCTAAGATCTTGATATCAACAAATTAAACTTTTTAGAAATTTGTAATAGAAATCCATGACAATAGCACAAATTCAATTAGTTTATATATATTAAGAATGATCAATGATACAAGTGGTGGCTCTCATTCACAACATGTATGGATCTTTGTTTTCATCAAAAAAAATTATCTTCTCTAGAGTTTATATGTTGTTTTATAGGGCGTTCCAAAAGTCATTTTATAGTTTATATGTTGTGAACAGTTTATAGGAAAAACTGTAATTCTATTGTAGATATTAGCTACCTCAATTTTTATTTATTTATTTATTTATTTTTTTGTAAGCTCTATTCAATGCTAAAACTAACTTCATCTATGTTTTCAAAGTATTATAGAGTGGGTATCTTCACTCTGTTTGATTCCTTAAAACTACCAACTACAAAGTTTTATCAATCAACAACTTCCTTCTATTAATGACATTTATTCATATGTATTGATTTGGACTTCTATAGTATTTTACTAATGTAAAAAATTGTAATTCCATCATGATATCAATCTACTAGGTAAGATATCAACAACAATCTTCAAAATACAAAGCTTGTTGTTATTCTTCTTTATAACAGTAGTTTTAAAATTTGAACATTTTTACAATGTTAATGAATTATGTGGTTTTGAATCCGTCTTAATTTAGCCTCTTTAAACTTTCCAACTATGAAGTAATATCTTTGGAAGTTTGAAGAACATGAACCTCAAAGAACTAAAAAATCAATATATTCTTGTATCACTCAAAGATGATATAGTATTAAACTAGAATGGCTATTATCAAAAACAAGTCGATTAGAAAGTCTTGAAACAAGACTAATGATTAGAAAAGCATTGATAAGAGTGAAGAGGGCTTCACTATTGCTTCTATATATACTCTTTAATTAAGAGCTATATGGTAATATTCTATAGGACCTCAAATACATATTGACTTTGTTAGAGACATATCTTAACTTACAAGGTAATTTATTTATATGTAGGTCGTATAATAAGCTTATTCTACAAGCTACTAATACATATGACATGTGGCTAATTTTTTGGCTAGATTTTTAGCCTATTAATTAATTACAAATATGTATAAAGTCAAAGCAACATCTATGAAGCTTTTAAGAAGTTTTTTTAAAAGATATTATAAAATTAATCTAATTTTATCTACTTCAACTTAATCATATAGATAATTATTGGAATAAATACATATGTCCATGACATTACCTCCCCTTCTAGGAACAAATTTCATAAGAAGCAATTATTATCTTTTATAAATCTTGTAATTCTTCATCTTGATTTTGATGGATGTTATTGATGAAAAACCTTAATCTTCTTCATTGCATTTGAAAGATTTTTTATTGGCTCCCATGTAAATTTATTAATATCATATTTTTATTAGTAATCAAGATATTTGAACCTATTTTGATGCCACTCTAAATCTAAGACTTCTTCTACCTCAAATTTTTGATTATTATCTACTTGTATAACAAGAGATGGTATTTTTCTTCTTCTCAACATATTCATTGCTTTATATGGCTCAAAAAGAGGTATGTAGAATTTAGGATGGGTTTTCATAGACTCCAATAGATGTAATTGATAAGCAATAAAAATAACTTATTCACAAATAGAAAAAGGTCCAAGCCTATGATAGTCTAATTTGTCACAACAACAAGTAGTCTTGATATTGTGACAAAGTAGCTATAGATTATCACCTATGGTGAATTGTGGTTGTTCTTTGCAATAAGCATCCACATTGATCTTTTGTCATTCTTAAGCTTCTTTTAAATGCATATTTGTTGTTGCATGTAGTTTTAATAAATATTTTTTTAAATCTTCTACTATATGATTATTAACATTTAAAAAAGTCAAAAGTATTAAATCATAGATAATAATGATAATTGAAAAAAATATATATTTGTTGTATAGAAGAATGTATCAAATTGTTATATGCAAACTTTGTCAATGGCAAAAGAGTTGTTTAATCATCTTGATGATAATTGATAGTACATTTCAAATATTACTCTAAAACTTGATTCATCCATTCTATTTGATCATTAATTTAAGAATAAAAAACCAAAGAGAGTTATATATCTACCTTTAAAATCTTGATACAAATTGTATCCTCCTATCCAATATAACTTTCTTAGATAATCTATGATAACAATAGATGTTGTCAAAAAAAACTTAACTAATTCTTCACTTGTGATAGATTTTGTACATGGTACAATATGTGCCATTTTGA